TATCGCGTGCGATCACGCTTCCTGTCAACCCGTCAGGGTAAAAGGACTTAGTCGGTTATGTCTTAGAGTTGCGAACTCTATTTGCTGCTACGCAATATGACCTTTTACCTGAGACAGTTTTAATAACCATTTTCATGGATGGTCTTTGCTTTGGCGTTTCCAGAACAAAAGTGTTTCGTACACAACCCTTGACATTTGAGGGTGCAGTGGAAATAGCGTTGAACGCAGAGTTCAACTTTAAATCTGCCCGCTACGGAACTCATGGGTGTCAATAGAACCCGTCGAGCAATGCTCATCTCATGGATAGGGCAGAGCCCATGGACCACATTCTTACTGAGAGAGACAAACAAGCTGAGCTTTACGCTGTCGAGCAGCGTTCGAACATTTGTAGATGTTTTACGTACGGAAGCATCAAACACCTTCGTCCCAATTGTCCTTTGAGAAGAACCAGACAGACTCATTCGAGCCGACCTCCCTTCCTTAACGAACGGGTTGGTAAGTTGCGGGAAACGTCGAGTCCCAGTAGGCGCGGGGCGCCCTGCTGGGGAGGATTTAGACTCTGTTGTACCTCTGGGAGGTGATGGAGAACAGGGCCTAGCCCCTAGTGACTTCGTGCACGATGTCACGAAGCATGCGTACAATCCAGGCTTGTAAGTTATGAAAGCAACCTTGAAGGGATTTGATAAGCCATGGTCAATTTTGATAGACTCCGGGGCGTCGGGAAATCACATCCGACGCTGTAACCTGGAAGAATGCCAGCAGTATGCTGAGGCGCTGAAACTGCGAAAGAATGAGACTATCACTGTTCGCTTGGCAACAAGCGTATCAGTCACTCTTTCCAAAGTCCTATGAACTAAGGTGTGAAGTTTTCGGACTTTGACAGTATCGAACGCTGTCCAGTCCTTGACTTGGATGAGAGATATAATCTTGTCCTTGGTATGGCTTGGCTAGAACGTCATGATCCATGGATTAATTGGAGGTCAAAGACCTTAGGTGGAACGCGCACTGTTCCTAGTGGAGCTTTCGATAGTCATGAACCCACCTCTGCTCGTAGAAAGAAGCGCTATTGGCGCGAGCCACGGACTGAGACAGTAAGTGTGCTGGATAACGGTATGGCTAAACTCTTTGAGCCAAGCTCAATGACTGTAGTGAAACGGCAAGTCTACGTCGAGTGATAGTCGTTGTGATAACGTATCACTGAATGCTAAACGAATTGTTGGACTAGAGCCAAGCCATAGTGGGTTGAACCCATCTGGTGAGCGTGGATTGGCACGTAAGTACCCACTGAGTGATGCTGGCCATGATTTCGCTACACTAAATTTTTTAGTCAAGACGTTGTTAGTGAAATACCAAGTCATCAAGGGCAATGTCCATTTGATGAGCGTGGATTGGCACGTAAGTACCCACTGGGTGGTGATCTCACTTGAAGTGACTCATCACCAGATGTCGGTAATGACATCGGATCTCACAAAGATAAGATTAAGGTTGACACAGTTAGTCAACTTGATGACAGGGTAGTCCCAGATGTCGGCAATGACATCGGTCTTCTTATTGGACAAATTAAGTTTGACATAATTCGTCAACTTGGGGACAGTGTTGTCCCAGATGTCGGTACTGACATCGTCCCTGATATTGGGCAAATTAAGATTGACGCACTCCGTCAACTTGGGCGCGGTATATCCCGGATGTCAGTAATGATATCAGATCTGGTAATGAGAAATTTGAGGATGGCTTTCATGTCAATCTTGAGAACATTGATGTCCCGGGTGTCGGTAATGACATCGTCTCTTTTACAACACAAGTTAAGGATGATGATGCAATCAACCTTGGAAACGAGAAAGTTCCAGTCTCTTAAGACATTCAGTCTCATCACAGAGACGAAAGCGACGACAGAGTAATGTTATGAAACGCAAGGCGTCTGTTACGTCACTGAGTGGAACTAGCGAGAAGCTATTAACACTCGTTAATGGAGTGAATGGTGACATTGATGCATCAGTGAGTCTTGAGACTCTACCCTCCCTGAATGCTCTGTTAGAGCTAGACGAAACGTCTGTCGATGAGTTTGGCCTGGCCTTAAAGTTGGGTGACTTATCTGAAGTGGTGGTCATTAAATCCAAAAGTGAGTCGAACTCGTCGTCCCTTCTTGACGAAACTGTCTTGAAAGAAACGAAGGCGGCACTGAGTGCTCGAAGTGGATCGTCAATCTAGGGGAAGATCCCGAGGACCCGTTTATCCTTCGGTAAAGGAGTTTCAGGTTGTGATGTGTCACTATCCACCTTCCACTCTGCCTTCTGATTGGTGCATACGTCACGAGATTGACCTGGTTCCTTGCACCAAATAGTGTGTGACACGGCAATGGCCACTACCAAAGGAGCAGTGTGAAGTCATTGACGAATTCTTTTGTGCAAAAAGCGCGGCTGATATGTTCTTGAGAGCAAGTCTACGTACTCGACACCGACAATTGTGTCAGAAAGCCAAACGGCAAGTGGCGTATTGTGCATGCTTACAATGAGCTTAACGCGGTCACTATACCGGCAAGCCTATCCCTAGAAAGGATGTATTGCAGAACGCTATAGTAGGTTGTACCATGTTCAGTGCACTCGACTTGGTCGATGGAAATATCAATTACTTATGCGAGCGAGATATATTCCGCTAAAAGCGGTGAGTACTCGAAGCGGTATGCTTTGGGAGTAGCTTGTTATGCCTCAAGGGCAATCTAATTCCCCGGCTACATTCAATCATCTTGTGACGCAATTGTTCTGACCTCACGGAGGATAAGCACAAAGCTAATTCGATGACATCTTTGTCCATAGCCGTGCAGACTATGGTAGGTCAGATGTGAACAATTACATTGACCATTTCGAGCAGTGCTCGAGTGCATGCGCACGATCAAGCTGTATGCTAATGCATCGAAATGCATTTTTGGTACTAAAGAAATTCCCTTTCTCGGGTGCTTCATTGGAAAGCGTGGTCTTCGAGCGGATCCCGCTATAGTAAAGTTAATGGTGGGCTGGTCGGTTCGGTCGAACCCAAAGAACTTACGTAAATGGCTCGGCCGTGATAATTACTTGCACAAGTACAGTGCAAACTACGCTGATATGGCACGGCCATTTCCTAATCTCCTCAATAAGGATGCAGTTTGGTGTTAAGACGCAGTCCATGCTCACATGTTAAAAACTTAAAGGACAGTCTCCTTAATATTTAATTTTGGCTTTGCCTGACTCTGAGTGACCTTTCAGTGTCGTCTGTGACGCGTAAAACTTTTCTGTTAGTTGTGCATTATTACAGACAGATGTCGATGGACATGAACGCGTCATTGCGTTTGAAACTTGTCAGCTTAAAGCTGCAGAAGAAATCTATCCGGCTCACGACAAAGAGTTAATCGCATCAAGTTCAGAGTCCACCTGCTCGGCTCAAAGCTTTCCGTTATTTTTATCGATCATGCGTCGTTACGCACTGCGACACAGTCGCCTTAACTCTAACAGTGTATGGCTCGTTGGCTTTCTTTCTTTGCTGAATACAACCTCGAGGTGAGGTACAAGCCGGGCAAGCAAAACGTTTTGGCTGATGCGTTGTCACGCCGACATGATTATGAGCTTGCTCATGTTGCGACTCTGTCGTCGTCTATCTATCCGTTATTCTATTTGTGCGGCATATTTACGTGATGAGCAATGTGTAGCACTGCTACACGCTCTTGGAAACAAGGAGTTTCATGACTCGGGCGTCACATTGTCGGCACGTTTACGTGCGAGCCTAGATCGATATATCATCGATGGTGGATTGCTGTGCTATTGCACGGGTGTAGAGGATTTGCCTCGCATCGTTGTTCCTAATTATGAGCACTGAAAGTATCGTATCCTCTTTAAGGCACATGATACTGCTTTTAGCGGTCATCTCGGTCGTGAGACGACATATAGCTCAAATAGACGGACCTATTAGTAATCCAAGTTAAACAAACGGGTGAGTAAATATGTACGTACATACGAAACGTGTCTACGGTTTTAACCCTTAGAACATGAAATTGCACCGCTCGCTAGTTTGCCTGTACCCACTAGGTGTAAGGGGTCCATCGGTATGGACTTTACGTTTGGCCTATCGAAGGATTCAGACGGCAACACTGGTATTGTGGTCTTTATTGACCATTTGAGCAATATAGGTCATTTAGCGGCTGCGCCGAATTCCATTGATGGCGAAGGTACAGCAAAGCTGTTCATCGACCGTGTGTTTCGTCAACACGGTTTGGTTTGCGGCAATTGGCTCGGATCGTGATCCACGTTTCACTGGCAAGTTTTTGACTTTTCATCTTCAAGGTACCGGGCACCAAGTTGGACATGTCCACAGCGGATCATCCGCACACCGATGGTTAAACTGAGCGTGTCAACCGTTTCATTGGTGACATTTTGCGCAGTTTTTGCGCTGATACGCCTGAGCGTTGGATCTCCTTGATCCGTGTGGTGGAGTTTGCGCTAAACAACGCTGTTCATGCCTCTAGTGGCTTGACTCTATTCTAATTGAATGGTCTCACTCACCCACGCATTCCGTTAACGCTTCCACTACTACTTTCTGGGCTTGGTGGGGGAGTATTAGCCGATCCGCTAACTGATGTCAGCTCTAATACTGTTCGGAAACATGTGAGCGATTTCCCGCTACGCGATTAGTTGTCTTACGACATGTACGTGATGCAATGGCTGCTAGCCAGGGCAAACAAAAGGAAAAAGCTGATGCCAAACGCAGAAAGTGTCTGAGAGTTATGAGTTTAAAGACCTAGTCTTGCTTAAGGCTAAGAATCTACCTACCAAGGTGGTGCCAGCGGTCTGCGTGACCAAGTCGCGTCCCTGGATTTATTGATCCGCTTAAGGTTGTGGCCAAAAAGGGCCTAGCATACACGCTCAACCTCCCACGCAAGATGCGAACAAATCCAGTGCTTTATGTCAGCTTGCTTGAGCCTTACCTTGATCCGTCTCTGGTAGATCATTAGGCGCTCGCGCCAAAACATTTAGCTATGCCACAAGTCGAGGTACTCTCAAGAAAAGATTCGGTTGTCCCCCAATACGCGCCACTCGGTCACGCAGACCGTGCACCGCGTGCACTAGCTCTTCGACAAAGCGTCGAGATTCACCGACCACCACCTGATCTCGGTGAAGAGGCAGGGGGTTAACTGCACTATGTTGAACGCCTCCTGCAGCGACGTCGTCGCGACAGGCAGTACCAGTACTTGGTGCAGTGGCGGGGGCACCTGGAGATGGAGAACTCATGGGAGTACGAAGTGCCACTGCGGCAGGATTGTCCGTACGCCGTTGACGTTTTTAACGTCGTCTTCAGGAACAGTAGACCCATGCCGCTTCCCAATAGCCGGTGTGGGAGTGGAGGAGGTTGCAGCTGCAGTAGGTGTAGGTGCACTGACGCGGTTCCGTGGCTGCGGCAGCATAGCGTGTGCAATAAAACGCACACTTGGCCTTTGGCCTTTTGTTTGGCGAAACCGAAACGCATCTTCTGTTCCAGCCGAACGTCAGCAAGTGAAGCGCTCTCTTGGAGATTCAACAAGCCTGTCAGACGACGTGCTCTGTGAGCCTAACGCGTGAAAACGACATCACTGTCCGCCGCTGTCTCACCAGGGAAGAGAACGATGGGTGTTGATTGCAAGGCGGACACAGACGCAATTTGTGCTTGCAGATTCAGCCTGCCAACGTGTCCTTGAGAGGTCATACGTTCAACATCCAAGTATATCGCTCTGAAAGCATCCCTCTTCACTATTGCTGCAGTGGCTGTGACAGCCCTAGGTCCCGTGATCCATGTTGCGAATGACTGCCCGGCAGTCTGACGGATACTCTCATCCTCAGTCGGTGGGGTGAAGCGGTAGCCACTGTGAGCATTGGCTGAGGCTACAATTTGTGCTTGGCGCATGCGGTCATCGACCGACTGAAAATGTTGTGCTTGATCTTCATCGAAAGTGTTGTGCACCACTCCCGACGTAGGGTCGACAATTGCACGCTGTGCAATGGGTAAAGGCACCTCATCGCGTTTCACGATTGGATTCGGCGAGATGAGCGTGTTGTCACACGCCAGTGGCGTGGATGGAGGATGTTTGTAGATGATCGAGGCAGCGGTGTCACTCTCGTATTTCACCTTACCCTCTTCGAGGAATCCTTCCAAGGTTTTGGACGAAGGCTTTGGCTCAGTCATTTTAAGATGTGTTGTGAGCACGATGGTCGATGACCAGAGCTTTGATAGACTTCAAAGCGAAAGAGAGAAATTGACGACACTAGGGTGTCGACAATTTGGTGGTGGAGGGTGCAACGGGGTTACACTCGGTTATTTGAACCGCTTATGTAGTGTGTCCACATCAAGTAAAGTTTGGTGGATCTGAGTGGTACAGTCTTGGTACCACATACTTACGGTAATACCGCTCCTTATCGAGCAAGAATAAGGAATCAGATTTCTGTCATAACATCGTAATGTAGAAGTCAATCAGGCAAGATTTTAAGATTTTGCTACCGCAGCTAAAATATTACACAAAGTTCAGTTCCCCTTTTGAATCGTTGGACGCTCGTGCCTAGTCAAGGCACAGCGTGTTTTAAGTGTGTTAGCCTTGTGAAGGCGTTTACTCTTGTCTAACTAGTAGCGATTAGTTCGTGTGTGATTCTGTGAATCGTAATCCATTTGGAACCGAGATTGTTAAGCTTGTACGCTTGGACGGCTGTACTTCGTTATTACTTGTAATAACTTAGGGATTCTTTGCGTCTTAGACTTAGTCTGTTAAGGAGCGCTAAGTAGCTTCGTTGCACGAAGAGTGAAGCTTTTAGTGACAAAGCGCAAGGTGAATGCCGAACTTTTCAAATCGTACTTATCGGTCTATGAGTGTGTCTGTAAATAACGCTAGGTGTTACCTTACGCGTCGTATAAAGTGCGATCCAGCCTGTCTCTTCGTCATAGATAAGTACGCATGTTCGAAGTCACTCTTTGGCTAGATCGCTATTGTGATACAAGAACGTGTTTGGCTCGACATCGGTCAAAGGTAAACATGATTACATTAGCAAATGCTTGACGCTCATAAGCAAAGGCTGATCGTGCTGCTCGAGTATACTGAACTGATTTAATTTAGACATTAACAGCATCTTACTCATTCTCCAGTGACTGCTGTTGTGTAGTGCTTTGCACATTGGTCTAGTTCTCCGAACAAGAGTTCATGTAATGAAGGGCGACTCTAGAGTTTGCTCCTCTATCGTATTCATAATGATATTTGGGCTACTGCTAATAGCGTGTTACCAAAGGGCTAAGCCATGACAGTTTCAAGACCGAAATCAGTTGGCAAATGAAAGTAATACTTAGTTATCGCAAATGACTTCCACTGTAAGTGTAACGGGGCACCCTGAAGCTTGTACTGGTGACAGTACAAGCTACTTATTCTGATGACAGAATAAGGCGGTGCCTCGTAACTTCACGTACACTGGTACGTGCAGAGGAAGACGGTAAGAAGAAGCGAGTACTTGGTTAGAGTAAAAGTAGAACTGTATTTAGTATAGTTAATGTCTGCAATAAATCACTATTTATCTTCATCTAACTATGTCTAAATACAAATGTGTAAATCAGTTATCTGCTCACCACTCATTGCGTGCGTCAGTCGTGGCGCGTCTTCGTTGGTTGATATAATGGCATATACCAACCAATTAGGAACTACTCGTAAGTGCTACAGAATATTTGTCCTTATGACAATGTTCTGAGAATCTAACTCTTATAGATATATTCTATTAACAATTTCTTATAAATTGTTATGTAACGATTCACCCCGTTGCATCACCCCCCCCCTTAACCATCAGTCACTTTAGTGACTGGTTGACTAAATGGATACTCGTACCAATCATTTGGGACAGGGTTTGCTTTTGTTGGTCCGCGTCCACTTTCCAACATCTCATCGCATGGTAAACAAGCCCATACGATGCGCGAACAAGGCCGCCGAGAGCGCGTCTGCACGTCTCTGTGCGGACGCCGAAGCAGGAACAACAGCAACTGATGTCTCATCAATTGCTGAAGCGACCCAGCCTGTGTCACTTGGTGATGCAGGCGCTGGTCATGAAGACACTCGTGTCTTCACAGAGTACGAGCTCGGTGTCTCGCACTCTCCTGATACGGATGACGGATCCGTATCGACGGCGATTGAATCTAAGCCGCCTGCCAAGCGTGGCATGGACGATGCTTTGCGTCGCAGCATCTTTGGTTCATCTGATGAATCAGATGAACCATCGCCGAAGCGAAGGCGCTCGAGGTCGCGAGACTCGGGCGCTAATAGTGGTGTCGGTTCTCCTATGGACACCACTTCACAGCGAGGTGCCAGTACTTCTGTCGGCACGTTGCAGGAAGAGCGGGACCGCAATGTCTTGCGTCTCGCTCCAGAAAAGAAGGCATGGATGCCTCCAAAATCCGTCATGGATCACTTGTCGGCGACGACGAGTGATCGTTATCGAACACGATTGTTCGATTCGTCAAGGATCCATCACCTTGACCCCAGCGCGAAAAACTATCGCGCTGAACATGAATTCTTCATCGATGCTTTCTTTAGACATCGATGGAACAGTGGGAATCACAAGCGTGATGGTCCCTCACTACTTCAGGCGTGGAACGCCTACATCCATAACCTCGAGGATGTAGGTCGTGACGCTTGTAACGACAAACTTATCAAAGCTCGTGATAAGTTTGAAAAGCGAACCCCGACAGGTGCACGCTACAAGCTGCATCGTCTGTCTAAGGAGAAAGGATTACCCTGCCGCTCTTGGGGAGACTCGTGCCCATGTTGTGTGAACAACTCTGCACGAGCACCTAAGGAGGCTTACCTCCCTACCAGCCCGTGGTGGCGCGTACGTGTCTCTACTGAGATGTACGAAGGGATTGACAACCTGAAATCCCTTTACGACCGTGCCGGGAAGACTTTCTCCGGCGGTCCTTCTGCGGCACAGGATGTGCCGCGTCGTACTGCTCAACCAGACCCAGTACGTCGATCATCAGTTGGGAGCGGGGCTATCAAGTATCCCAGGACGGGGGATAGCCGCGCCACCGGACGAGATAACTCGTCCGACGTCCGTTCACATCGCGGTGGTTCAACAGCTGCTCAACCGGATAGCGCTGGCCACCGCGAGAGTCCTCTAATGTAGGTGGAGGAGGAGGGAAGATGCTCTCCAAACTATCGTGGGGAAGCGTGTGTCCCCGAGAGCTTATTTGATCGCGTAACGCAAGCGTTACGCGGAGATATCGAGCATGAGCGGGACAGGCGTCCTCAACTGGCGGACACTGTCTTAAAGCATCGAGCTGAGTTTGCCTTTGCTCAGCTTGAGAACGAGAGAGCTCTGACATCTCTGCGTAACGAGCTAAGGGTAGCTCGTGCGATTGTTGATCGGTCTCGGGCTGAGATAACTGCTCTTCAGACCCTTGTTGATGCCCACCATCGGGAGCACAAGGCTCTCTGCGAGATGCTTGAGCGCAAGGGCGTTCTTCATCGGAAGAAGCAGCGTACTGATGGCACGGCTTAAGCCGACCAACATAAAACGTGGGATGCGTTCGCATCTTACGTGGCAACTCGATCGTGTATGCATTGCCTAGGCGATGCAATACACAAAATGGGCCGGTGTACTTGGGTAGTAGTTTACTGCTACCCAAGTTAGTCACTACATGCTTTGGTAGATTAACCGTAGACAGTAGGACTAGGTCACCTTTATTAAATAAAAGAGTGTTTGCCCTTCCATTCTTGTCAGCGTTTTGCTTTTGCTTATCCACCGCTTCGGCGATGGAGTCTTGCACAAAACGGACTACCGTTTCACGAGCCAGTATGAACTCATCTGATGACTCGTTAGCTTCAGTGTGCTGTGAGCGCACTGCAGCAACAACAACCTTTTCTTCAGTGAGGGCTTCCGCACTCTCGCTGGGATCATTGTCTTCAGTGAGGGCTTCCGCACTCTCACTGGTATCATCTTCTTCGATATCGATGTTATCGATATCGGCATCGAACGCAATGACTTCTTCGTCAGAGCGTGATGAGCGTGAACCAATTCGGTTTTTGCTCGCGCGAGTCCCTCCCCCCTTAAACCAGAGTTACACTCTAGTAAGGTGGGTACACGCGGATGGCGCAAGCCATTCACGTAAAACGGTGTATGTGTCGTGGACGCATGCACCGAGTTGTTGATGGCAAACTCTACCATTGGCAAAAACTCACTCCAACTCTTAAAGGAGTGTACGTATCCTCGAAGTATCTCTTCGAGGACACGATTGGCACGTTCCGTCTGACCATCTGACTCTGGATGATCAGATGTTGACATCTTCAAGCGCGTTCCGAGTGATTTGAACACGGAACGCCAGAAATCAGCAGTGAATCGTGGATCTCTGTCTGATACGAGTTCACGGGGCAACCCATGAAGTCGGAAGATGGTGTCAATAAAGACACAAGCACAGCCACTTGCCGTGATTGTCTCTGGTACAGCCACAAGGTGTACCATTTTGCTGAATCTGTCAACAAATACGAGAATACCCGTATTCCCGCGTGCGTCTTTGGGTAACCCGAAGACGAAATCCATTGAGATGGATTCCCAGCACTCAGCCGGAACCGGTAGAGGCTGTAAAGGTGCACGCAGTGAAGGACTTGACTTCACTCGTTGACAGACTTCGCATGCGCGAACATACTTTCGCACAAACTGATACTGGCGGGGCCAGTAAAAGTCTCGACTCACCGTGAGATACGTTTTCTCTCGGCCACGATGTCCTCCTATAGGAGCATCGTGATACTCGAACATGATCCGCAAACGCAGATCAGTATCATCTGGAATGACAACACATGGTGTGTCACCAGAAACGGCTGTATAATACAGTTAACCGTTACGAGTAGTGTATCGATCTGATGCAGATCGATACGCAGACGACAATCGTTTCAACGATTCTCGGGATGGTTGGGAGAGATGTGTCAACAACTTCACAATCTCACCATCTTGGGCGTATGCCCGCCTCGCATCATCATACAACGTTGAAGATGGTACTGAGGACGTCATAACCGCAACAGTGACTGTCTCACTGTTGGGTTTCGCGACTGTTTCAAAGTCGGGACGACGTGAAAGTGCATCAGCGACGACATTAAGTCGTCCTGGTTTGTACTCGACCGTAAAGTTGTATTCTGCAAATAATGATAACCACCGCACCATTCGTTGTGAAAGATGCGGGCTGTTCACTGCCATGCGTAATGACGCATGGTCAGTGTAAACAATGAAGGGTCTATCTCCTAATAGATAGACTCTGAACTTCGCGAGTGCATATTTCATGGCAAGGAGTTCCTTGTCATGCACTGGATAGTTCCGCTCAGCTGGTTGCAGCTGACGCGACTGATAGCAGACGACGCGTTCAACGCCTTCAAGATCGTACTGCATTAATGCACATCCGATTGCGAAATTGCTGGCATCACAGACCACATGAAATGGCCTGTCCTGATCGGCTATTGCTAGGACTGGGGATTGTATCAAGCTCTGCTTGATACCCTCAAAGGAGCGCTGACATTCAGCGTTCCATAACCACCTCTCGTTCTTTTTCAACAAACGAGAGAGGTGTACAGTCAATTCGGCGTAATTACGTGAATACTTATGCAAATACGCCGCTAGCCCAAGGAATTTTCGAAGACCTTTGACATCGACCGGCACAGGCCAGTCGGTGATCGCCTTGATCTTTTCGGGATCAGGACGTACACCGTTCTTACCAACGATGCACCCAAGAAGTGGTATTTCGCTTGCTGCAAATATACACTTCTTGAGGTTAGCATACAATTGATGCTTTCGCATGATTGTAAGAATCCATCGGACGTGGTACCTGTGAACCTCAACGTCCGACTTTCCATCCATAGCTCGACTATGGATGAATACGTCATCGAAATAACTCGGCGCGAATTCTCGTACTGGTCTCAACAGATGTGATACAAATCTGTTGAACGTGGCAGAGTCATTACGAATCCCTTGTGGCATTACTAGCCATTCCCAGAGCATGCCGTTAGGCGTGCTCACTGCGGTATAGGGTATATCCCGTTCTCGCATAAGGATTTGATAGAAGCCATCCATCAAATCCATGGACGAAAAGATGGTACTCTTTGACATACCATCAATGATTACGTCCTTCCTCAGTATCGGCGTCCGAGCCGGTACCGTTGCAGCGTTCAATTTGTTAAATGCATGCACTATCCACCACCCTCCTGTTGCTTTTCGCACACAGAAGGTCGGAGAGCTACGTGGGGAAGTTGATTCCCTCACATGGCCCGCAGCTAAACGATCGGCAAAGAACTTGTCGATCGCAAGTACTTGTTCACGAGGCAGTGGCCACTGCTTCATGACACAGTACTTCGAGCCTGGTTTAAGCTGGACCTCGTGTCGAATACCTTTATCCTTCGGTAATTCGCACGGAACAGTTTCAGGGAATACATCCTTGAATTCAACCAAATCTTCATAGAGAGGATTTGTCTTGAGCGATTCCCACGATTTAGAGTCATATCGCTCAATTCGTGTCTTTTCATCTAGGACACTCTCGTCCATAGATGAACTACTGAGAACTCTCTCGTTCTCAGTGAACACTGTTGCTGACCTTATGTCGGCTACACACTCGTCGTCAGCGACGAGTATGCAGATCCGCTTGACTTTGCCACTACGCAGATCACGCAAGAACCTTTTATGTTCGAGCGTTGGCAACTGAGTGATCTCCGAAGTCAACTTCGGAGGACAATCAGATCAAGTGTATAAGCGCCTACACTTGATCCGTTATTGACTATGACATTTGATGTCTCTGTCATTTCCTGGGGACTTATTCCCTCAGGCTTCGAAGGACTTATTCCTTCGTCTTCCCGGGGACTTATTCCCGCGGGTTTCGAGGAACTTATTTCCGCCGTATTTGTAATCTTGGGACTTGTTCCCTTTACTTTCTCTAGCTGGGGTTGCGCAACCACAGCGAGATCCTCTACGAAAGACTCTCCAGTCGATCTAGGATTATCGTTTCGCTTAACCTGAGCGATCGTTTGTTTCTCTTCTAGATGTTCCCCGCTAGGGATACATCTTTGTCCCAGTCCACCCGACTTATTCGAGTGGTGGACCTTCGGCGCAGCCTGTGTTTCCTCACAGCCGCCGGAACTTTGCTCCGAAGTGTAACCGTTTGGTACACTAAGGTTTTGTGCAGTTGTACTAACGACCGTACCACAAGTGAGGCCATCGCACTCACTCGTAGTACATCCACACGCTTGTGGACGCTCCAAAACGTTCATCAGATGGCCATCTGATGAACAAGCGGCAGGCATCGTTACTGTCCGATGTTGCCAGTTTACCCGTGGTTCGTACCTTCTGAGCCACGGTATTACAAGGATGACATCAAATTTGTCATCCAAATCCAATACGATAAAGTCATCATCATATTGGGTATCTTCTAGCGTATAGTGGATCTTCACTATACGCTTCATGACGGTTACGGATGCGCCTGTAGCAAGACGTACCGTCATCCTCGTAGGAGGTGTGTCACATTCACTGAACTTAAAGTGACCATCTTCTAGCGATTGGCGTCGCACAAAATTGTTGGACGCCCCACAATCGACTAGAGATCGAAGGGACAACTTATTCGTCACTTCGAGTTTCAAGGTAATGAGTGAGATCTCATTACCTAGAGCAGCAACGCACAACGTTTGTGTGTTGGGAGCAACCTTCATCAAGAGGCCTACAAATTCTCTTGACGTTGCTGGACCAGTAGGGTGCTCCGCACCTACTGATCCTGTCCGTTTTTTGACGGTCCATCCCTTTGTTGCGTCTTTGCACCAACATCGGACCCGCGTCCCTGCCCCTTTCTCATGGGTGGACGGTCACTACGCCCAGTGTCACGAGACACTGGACGAGGGGCACTACACTCGTAAGCGTAGTGTCCTGTCTTCTGACATCTGTTGCATTTCTGCAACTTCTTGTAGTCTGTAGAGCGAGCCTTCTCGCTTTCTACATAACAGAGTTCCATCGGCTCTGGACCTCCGTTGTCATATCGTCTCGGTTGACGATATGATGTCGAGCTGGCGCGAGCCTGTCTCAGACTGAAGTCTTCCTGTTCCGCAATGGAAATGGCTTGCTCTAGTGAATCTAGTTCAAGCCGGAACAGGTGAGTCTTGACGGGACCACCCGCAAGACCCCGCATGAACACCGAAACCAACGTGTGTTCATCAACCGGGTTGGAACTTATACAACTCGTAAGATGTCGTATATGTTGTACGTAAGCATGCACATCATGCTACCCTGCTTGAGCTTCAAAAGTTCAGTTTGATCTCTGAACTCAGCTCTAGGCGGTTCAAACGTTTTTCTGAGCCGCGACTTGAAGACTTCCAACGACCCGAACGCATATGGGTCGTGCAGCTTGAGCCCCAGTGCCCAAGTCTTGGCACGTCCTGCCAGATTTGATTGGGCAAATGCAACTGGCATATCCCCGTCGTCGATGCGACGCGCCCTTATGGCGTCATCCAATTCGACGAACCATCTCAAGAGGGAGTCTTCTTCGACTCCCCTATACTTGGAGATGTCAATCTTCAAGGCTTCGGGTCGACGCGAGATCATCGACCCACCAGCAGCAGCCTGCTGCTGTCTCAACAGTTCAAACTGTTGAGCACCCTGTTCTCTCAACAACTCTGCTTGTTGAGAACCATGTTGGTGAAGCAAGGCTACTTTCTCGCGTTCTGCGTCAAGTTCATTTTGAATGAACTTGGCGATAGTAGCATGTTGGGCATCTCTATTGAGAGCCTCTAGCATGACGCTAACAGCATGGATGCCCATGGTCGAACCCATTCGTTCAACCGCATTCCAATCGACATCGCTCAAATGGGAGTAGCCGTCACGCGTAGCGTGAAAGCTTTGGTCATCTTCATCATCCAACATATTCATGTTAGATGTGAACGTGGTCCTTGGACGGACTACGAAGTGCTACCAGGTGTAACGGGGCACCCTCAAGCTTGTACTGGTGACAGTACACGCTACTTATTCTGATGACAGAATAAGGCGGTGCCTCGTAAATGACAGTACAAGCTACTTATTCTGATGACAGAATAAGGCGGTGCCTCGTAACTTCACGTACACTGGTACGTGCAGAGGAAGACGGTAAGAAGAAGCGAGTACTTGGTTAAAGTAAAAAGTAGAACTGTATTTAGTATAGTTAATGTCTGCAATAAATCACTATTTATCTTCATCTAACTATGTCTAAATACAAATGTGTAAATCAGTTATCTGCTCACCACTCATTGCGTGCGTCTGTCGTGGCGCGTCTTCGTTGGTTGATGTAATGGCCTATATCAACCAATTAGGATCTACTTGTAAGTGCTACAGAATATTTGTCCTTATGACAATATTCTGAGAATCTAACTCTTATAGTTATATTCTATTAACAATTTCTTATAAATTGTTATGTAACGATTCACCCCGTTACAGTAAGGGTTTCACCGAAAACTTATTAGGGGTGCTGTGGTCGACTGGTAGACTTTGCCGTCTAAGCCTTGGCGACATGCCACTCCTCCTGATACGACTGAGTTCCGTCAATAAACTATGAGCGAAACAAGTAGACTCCTGTCGCTCTATCTGTATGCAGCACCCTTTGCGCAATCCTGATTAGCTAGCACAAACAAGTCCTGTACTGTCCAGGTTTTTTTACTTCTTTCCAGCAGTCTTGACGTCTAGACAAACCGTAAGCTTGTACCAAAGCTGGGGGTATCACTATCCTCGCACGATGCAAATGATAAACGCTTTTCTCTAACTTTGAGCTCTGAATTTCGTCAGTCAATCGAGGTTTATCAAGATGAGATGATCGAATACTTGTCCTTGCATTGCATCGCTAGAGCATGTCGACCACTGAAGAAACTGGGATGCGTCTTCAAAGCTTCTTGCTGATTTCGAATAGGGGATCAAGGACTGATGTATCATTACATGCTGTGGTCATTGATAACACTTGGTGTGTTTTTGCTGCGGTTGTTGGTTGCATGGTCGTTAAACATCGCTCGGGAAAGCTCAGAAAGTATTCCCTGCGATGTCATCCGTTGACATGTTGATGTATCTCCAATATTCTTACGCAACAAGGCTTCTAGAATCGAGGTAGTGATTCTTCTTGGCAGCCGTGTAGGTGGCAACTTTTCTTACGGAACACTTCGTACTTACTCCTGGCGCAAATCAGGAGGTAATGGTTGTCAATGCTCCTCTGTCGGCAATAGAAGAGTGTGAAACTTCTTACTCGGTATCGTACGTCTGCAACACGTAGTACCTGTCTGCAGAAGAGTAACGATACGAGAGGTCTACTCGTAGACAAATTCTACTTAAATCGGACCCAGCACTTTGTTTGTCCGTCGAATGCTGGTGGGATTTCTCTTTCTAAGGTACATACATGCTCGTTTCTTGGGACAGCTCCATTGTAACGTCGTGTGACACTCGAAAGAAAGTGTACAGACGAAGATTAGCCACACGAACAACCACCAAGGCTATGCTGAAGCACCATCACAGCAATTTGGGAGCATCATGACACTGCGTGGCCGCTGACTTCATCCTGGCACCTTACCACCTGGAATGCTGCCATCATCAGGTGGTGTCATTGATGTTCAGTCGATCATTCGTATTCTATGCAGGATCACAAAGACTGCATGAAAGGTGAATCAAATTACGTATCGTCCAGCAATGATCCACTGAGCCTTCAATATTGCAACGGTACCTGCACAAGTTGTGCAGTTCGCATCGACATGCCGTAGACTTGCACTTTGTCTCGTGGGGCATGTGACAAAGAGTTAGCTTGCCTATGTTTCATGCGACTAGTCATGCTAAATACCCGCACAACTATGGCACTGCATTACGAGGGAGCATTCTCTGCTCAGTTACGGCATCGGTAATCGATTCATCATTCACAACCTCAAGCGTAGTAGCACTGTTTCTTTCGGCACTACTGTAAGGAGGCAACAAAGTTTGCAAACGAGTACAGCAGTACTAGGCAAAAGGTACGTGGATCCAGTAAATCGCTTCAATGTAACAAAGCAGTAGATGTACGTGACAGCCTGACGATATTGCAGGAAACTACCCAGCGCAGTTTACTGTGTGACGGCGGCGAAAGTTGGAACGCAAGAGGTCTCCAACAATCGACGTGATTGTCGAGCCACGCCTTCTTCAAACGCATGTCCCACTTCGTCGAGTTTCAACAACGTCACGCATTTGTGCACAAGTAAAACCAGCAGTATCTAACGCTGGAAGACCAGCGCCCGATTGCATCGGACAATGACGAGACAAGAGGAGACGAATCCAGGACTCTGTCGTCACGAATCTCGCACATCCTGTGTGTAAGTTTCTTCCATTTACTGGGTGATGTTGATGGCTGCTTCGACACCTGGCGAGGACACATCAAGCTATGACAGTGCTGTTTTGTTCTTACCTCTTGCGTTGACCACATGCTCTGTGACAACTGAGGACACGAACCAGAAAACAATCAAAACGATCAGTCGTTGACATAGAAACGATAATTGCGTGTCCTGTGTTTGCAGACACGTTTTCAGCGTGATGACGAGCTCCTACTGTTCCAGGTGACGATGTGCTCAAAAGAATTACAGTAAACTCGCTGACGAGTCGGCGCTAATCTTGCGTCGGCTGCAGCACCGATCGCCAATTTACAATGACACTGGCAAACACACCTTTGAAACACGAAATGGTACATACTTGTTACCTTCATCACCAATAAACATGCTCACGGTGACGTATCACTGCAACTCACTCACGGATATCGAGTCGTACCCCTTACTTCTCCACCCATCGTCTCAACACCCTGTGTCGTTTCAGCCTCGACGTAGCGCGGCTCATCAAGTAGGTCACCACCGATCATAGACCCCCTTCGGATCAGTGCGCTCTCCATCATAGCCATGCTGTCCTCAATGTTACCCAGCACGTTAACGAAAGCAGCTACAAAATCCACGTGCGTGTCATACCGGTGGATCTTGTTGTCATCACCAAAGTAAAAGGTGTTACCCACTGAGTAAGCAAACTCGGTGCCGATAAGGCGCTGCACGAGCCCCTCATTCCACAGCACGTGAGGAAAGATCTTCTCAATAGTGCGTCGTGTAAAGCGCACGTATAGTGTAGCAGGTGCAAGCACCACCGGGTTTGGAAATGCCGTCAAGAGCTGCATCGACTCGACTTCGTACCGCAGTCCTGCATGGTTCCGCGAGTACTTTTTCCATTGATCCAAGAGCTCCCGGACACCGTACGAGTCTCCAAACACCACGTCTGAATGCATGAGGCCATTCAGATAGCGTGCCTGTCGAAACGACAACAGTAGCTGGTCCTGATGCATGCCCAAGGCCCCACCTTGCTCGGTAACTGGTACCCCGTACTTGAAGAGCGAAAAGTATTCGTTCACGATATTGGCAAACGTTGTGCCCATGGGTTGGCGTGCAAGTGGGTAACCATTAACTTGCTGCGGTCGCGTCCGTTCGCACAAATGGAGTTGACCCACCTCTTGTTTCAGCTGTTCGACTTGTTCCTCAAGGGTCTGAACGTAAGTCTTCCGACGCGAGCGGTAGAGCTTCCCACGCTCGCTATTGGACAGCCGCCGTGAGCGCTTCTTTGACAGCAAAGCGCTCTCCCTCCAGACACTTGTCATAGCAGTCGGTGTCGAAAATACATCCATTGAAAGCTGCTGCTCGTTCGTTGGGCTTTCGATTTTACGTGCAAAATCGACGCGTTGAGGTGACAACGACGCTTCAGTGCCAAGGTCCTCAAGTGGGAAGCTCTTGTCGGTGCTGCAACAGAGCGCAGTGATGTCCATGCGGCGATCGTGGATGTTCATTGTAGCAGAGGTAATGGGGAGAGCACTTATTTTTACCTTTGAATTGCTAACGGGGACAAGGAAGTTGGTTGGTTCAAGGGTTAAATTGTAAGCTTTTTTAGTATCAAGACCTGCGTCACCTGATGTCTCTGTGGTAAATTGTGAAATGACCAGCAGGAGCACGCCCTGTGAGGTGATCGATCAAAGTGGCCCATGGCCGTGGTGCCCAAAATACCCTACCGTTCTACTGTTGGTAATTTGGGCAGTGACGATTATCTAAACCCGGCACAGCACGTGACGCTGATTGGCTAATGGGTGATAGGACATGCACTTGGCGAGCAGCTGGTGGTGGCCGCCCGCGTGTTTTATCTATAGCGATTTGCCAGCGCCGCGTCATAAGTGCATCCCAAGAGAGTCGCACTGGTCTATGCACGAGCAGGCAGCCCATGCGACGCGTGTTAGGTGCTGTACTGACGAAAGAAAGAGAGAGAGACTCTTTTGCCTGACTTTAGACACGCGAAGAGAGAGGATTAGCACTCGGCACTAACGGATTACCGGCCAAATCGTCGTCACGATGGCAGTAAATTTAGCGGGTGTTTGTTGATATTTCGGGTGGAAGTTCAGCCTCCAGCTGTCAGTACATCAGCTACACTGCATCACTCAGGGTAAATTGTAGGAGGGATGCAGCATAATGCACTGCATTAACCTGTAAAGCAATCTCGTAACGTTGCGACAGAGTGTGGACAGCTGAAGACCGACGAACCAACCAACCGACCAACAAGGGATCGTCATTGAGGCAACACGGAATCAAATTTCACAACCTCAAGGTTGAGTGAGGGACTTGTAGTTTACGTTAGAAGCTCACGCACGCACTATAGACGACCAACACCACTTCGGTCCTACTCAGCTGCTAGAATGTAAGACAGTTCGAGTCGATTTCGAGGCGAGCGATTAAGGAATGCGGGTTCCTCAATCGGGTCCGCCTCCCTTCCACGACCAGCACTCGGCTGTGCCTCGCTCTGACTTTGCTGCATCGTGCCCGGCAAAGAGCTGCTAGCTGCTACTTCACTTACGGCCGATAAAGCCCTGTCCTCCATTGCCAGAGCAGCAAACCGGCGCCCGTCGCTATCGTCACCAATCATGTGTTCTTGTTCAATCAGTGCGTTGCCCATGATACGCGCCACTAGTTCAGGGCACTTTAACGCATTCATTAACCCTGCAACGTAATTCACTTCGGGGGCATACCACTCGATCGCGCCATTCCGATCAAAGTGGAAGTGGTTGATGCACGGGTACTTCACCACTAAGCCAATGAGTAACCGCATCAGCGCTTGGTCTCCCATCAAATGCGGGAACACCTTCTCGATAGTGCGTTGCGAGAATTGTACCCTTAAGGTGGCAGTGATCGTGACTACAAGTGGTCCATCATCATCGTCATCGTCATCGTCCTCAGCGGTTGTAATCAGACCTCGTGACCTAACCGGCTGGATCACGTCGAGAGACTCCATTGTCCAGTCAATAGCCGAATGGTACAGCGAGTAGCGCTCCCACTGGGCCAGCACGAGATCCAAGCCCACAAAGTCGCCAAAGCGTAAGCGGTCAATTACGACCGCCTGTAGAAAGCCTCGTTGTGTACTAGTAGCTTGTGCCACGAGGGACGCGGAGGCGTCCTTCTCGTCCACGGCCAGTCGAACTGGGGTTCCATGGGTGAAGAGTAGGCAATACTCATTCACGATAAGAGCTGCAGCCCCAAGTGGCGTCCGTCTCTGTGAAAGGGCCAGTTCCTGCTGCACTTGACGAGAGACGGTCAGTGCCGCAATCTCATTGCGGAGTTCAGCCACGCGGCTTTCGAGGTGTTTACTATAGCGACTCCGTCGACGTCGATAGTATTTGCCCCGTTCGCTATTGGACATGAGCTTTAGAGCAGCGGGGGGCGTGAGGTCAACGGATAGGGCGCGACGAGTTTGCTTGGGGCCGAAAGGCTCTCCTCGGACAGTCATGAGGACGAAAGTACGGGCGGAATGGATAGGCAGGCAGGCAGGCTCCTCTTCTTGCGTGCTGAACGACGAAACAATGAATGGACAAAAGGGGGAGGAAAACGGTGGACTTGAATCACATGCCGAGGCTACGTTCGAGCTGCGACTGAGAAACGAGGGGGGGGGAGCAACGGTCGAGCGAGCTGTCTGTCGCTGGTCCTTTCGATGGGAGAGGTATCAAAGGACGACGACGACGACGACGACCGAAAGACGGAAGAAAAAAAACGAGCTCACAAGCGAGCGCCTATCTCGACATCCACTGCCGTGTGGCACAAGCTCGAGCGAAAGACAGTTATACTACCCACGCCGGCTTTTCGTCGATTTCGTCAGCAGCAGGGCGTCAACCACCGTCGGAACGCTCGCGAATTCGACTACGTCTCTGGATGTTCTGGCTCACGTGGGATGTATCTTTTGCCGTACGCTCAAGTCCTTTCTCAACGACAGCGGCTCAAGGAGGAAGAAATGCTCATCCGTTACATCACATTCAACTGCGTCCTCAAGGACACGGAGGTGGACAAAAGTCGCTCTTGAATTTGATCATTCGCCGCGCCCATCACGCAACCATCCGGTCTTCTCTGTTCTAAGTTGGTTAATTCGTAGCTTGGCACGCAAGTGCGAGAGCTGCCAACCATTGAATCGATTTCGAGTTGTTGATATTTAAAACAAGACAAAGTCTCGCGTCGTCGCAATTCCCAGCCGCGCTTTGTCACAGTAAAACTGCGACGACGGTTTTTTTTTTTCGTCAGCGACGTCCCACAAATGTTCCGAGCGACGTCGTCGGCGTCAGTCTAACGTCAAGATGGCCGCGTCGCACCAACTTGTCGTCATCAGTCGCTTTGTCGTTGCCTCGTTTACATAAATCGACGCACGTAGTCGATCTTACCGCCATAGACACCTGCCATATCCGTGCTACGTGTCTGAAAAACCAAGCCTCATTGCGCGGCCATGTGTACGACCTACAACGACGAGCTACGTCTCATGGCCTGCATCGATTTCCCATGTCGCCTTGAGCCGTATCGGACTAGCTAGTCACCTGTAAACTCATAGCTATCAGAGAATGCAGCAAAGTACTTCCCACGTAGACGCAAATGATATGGGACGCGCCTAGGAGTTGCGCTAAGCTGCCATATAATGGCCGAGTTTTAAAACTAGAAGCTCCTCTGTTGATCAGGCGCAGCGGAAACTGGCACTGTTACGCCACGAATCACAGCAGTACGATCGTGTAGGAAGTACTGCCTGCTGATTGAGTAATGGAACACCCTTTCGTGAACGAGTGGACGAGCCGGGTACCTCCGTGTCCCTCGTAGCGCAAACTACCAGTAGTTCTAGACGCCTGTAGAACTCTGTACCGTTCGGCGACTGGACGTGATACAGCCTGTGGAATCTCGAGAGCTGACTACTTTCGCTGATCGTGATGACCACGGACCGCTCATGATCTCGATTACTGCGAGCTTGCATGTGCACTGTTCTCAAGATACGGTCGAGGAAGTGGTCTGCGCTTGGTGAGAGAGACAATGCGTCAACGTGATTACTCGTCCATTGGACTGGAAATGACGGACTTGTGTGTCACTCGCATCCACTCACATCGAAACAGGGTGACCGAGTGGAACGAACTAGCTGCAAAAGATCGGCAATGAGCCCTACAGAAGGCAGCTGGCTATGATGATGGAAGCAGCGCTAACGAAGCACTTCGAGTTCCATTGGTGCATGCATCGTGTGTTCTAAGACAGGTCATGACTGAGAAGTGGGTGGGCGGGAGGTAGGAAGAGTCAGTGGAAAGATCGGCATGGATGTCAACGGCGGGTCAATGTTTTTGTTGACAAGGAAGAGAGGGAGTGGCGTTTGCTGCAAAGTTTCAAATTTCTGAAATTACGGTTAGAAATGCTTTGTCTTCGTCAGCCAACTAGCCGTCTTGTGATCCGTCTGTCCCACGCGAACAGTCGCTGTATTGTTATAGCTGGAATTTACCGTCTGGACTTAGAACCACCACCAAGCAGCATCAGGCGATTCGGACCTGGTCAGTTTTTGGCTTTTGCGCATGATTTGACAACTAGTTTACATGATGCAAGAAGATCCATGGACTCCAAAGCTCACCGTTGTTCTACTCGCGACGACAGTAGCCAATTTGACCGACAAATTGACGGGTTACGAAAGGAGCAGCAGCGTGATCCGGCTCTGCGAGTCGATACAAACAGCGAAACTGGAACTTGCCCGATCAGCAGAATGCCGCTCAGTCCGATCGATAGATGCCTGACATCATGTGCATTAACCACGCTACATTTCGATAGGAGGATCCAAAGGCTACACTGAACACAAAACTTTACGGCGGCAGTGTTGTGCCTTGGTAATATACACAATCGATGGCTAGGTTCCTTACCTTCTTAATTCGGGTTACAGTAGAAACGTACCCCCGCCTCGCACCTAACTACTCACTTGAGAATGCGATTTGAAGGTTTCGCTCACCAGTTTACATCGATCGTTTCGTCACTAAACCGAGGGAAACGTACAATGGACATCCTCGAGAGTCGCGAAGCCTCGCTGCGGTCCAAGCTTCTAGGCGCATCTCCGTCGCCCCCAGCAGCTTCTACGATCACTGACCGTCTCCATCGCCTTCAGTTGCAACTAGAGCAGCTCTCTACAGCTGTTCCCGGGTCTGCAAAGCTCCGTGAACAATGTACGTCGCGTTATGGCATCGTATAAATTTAAAGAATCGCTCAAAGGATCTTTGATGTTGTTGTTTGGTAATGTTTTAGACAAGGAGCATTCTGACCAATTACAGCTCGCCTCTGCCGGAATTTTCACCAATCACAGCTCGCCGTCCGGTGACGAGCTGAAACGCGCGGCTATTTTAGGATCAGTGGACCATTTCCAGCACATTTCTGCCCAATTACAGCAGCTTCAGCAGTTGGCCGGTGTCTTGGACCAATTACGAGCTCCAGACGAGCAGGATCAGGAGAAGTTGAAGACAGTGGAAGCCAAGACGGGACTGCAGAGTGAACGGGCGTTGGCTCTTCATTCGAGGGTGAACAAAGTGCTGTCAATGTACCAGCAGATGGTACTCGTGCTGTCTGAGAAGTGCGTCGAGTATAGCGCGTTACTGGACCAGCTGCAGAATCAAGAGAGGAACAAAGAAGAAGAAGGAGAGCTGCTGGTGCAGTAATGTGGAGGTGGTACTGTACGGATCAGTGGTACCAAGTGTGTGCTAAGGGAGACCTCATGGCGGTTTCAGGCTGGTTTCATTCAGCGACTTCTGATGGTAAAGTTCACCAAGCTTGCACGGCTATTTGATCGCTGCCGTCCTAAGATGCGTTTAGGCTGAAAAGTGGTGAAGAGCTCGCTTGCTGGTGGATGAAAACGGTGCAGTTGTGAGATATTGACTGGTTCGGATACTGTCTCGAAAGAATGCAAAGGCAGATTACGTTTTTGAGCTTATTTACAGAGCTCATGATGACTCAAATCTGGGTCAAGGTTGACAGACCCGTGACCCTATCGGCAATACTCGCAGTCCAAATAATTTCCGTTCGGTTGACCTCGCGTCGGACTTGTGCATCCCAGTTGGACATATTGCAAAGCTGTACTTGCTCGTTTAAGTGCAACGCAAAGCACAACTACAGTACTTAAGCAGGCAACAGCTAGAGCACTGCTATGTTTCTTTATACACCGCAAACTTTGCTGTACAGGACAAGCACAAATAAGCAGAAGTCAATGTCGAGTACTCCGTAGCAAATCCAATAGTTTAGCTCAATAAATTCGTGGACACAACATGCAAAGTAGGTAAAACGAAAACATTCGAGCTCGACCTGATAAAGCACTTTATTGTGGCCGAAAAAGCGCTTGATACAAAAGCAAGCGCACAAACAAGCAATTACTGCATTCAACAAAAAAAAACGATCCACGGTATCCGATAAAACAAAATACCTTCTCGAGTCCCACGTGACGTCTCGTCTATCACATTTTCCGCTATTCTACTGGCATCTACGATTCCATCTCTCGAGGCGTTTAACACCAACATGTCGCCCACTTTCTCCTTAAATGGTGCCATGTTCACATTCCATTGTCTATCGCCACTCGAGCAAGAAGAAGTGACGACTATACTCCAGCACCACAATGGCACGCTATACGATGCCACGAAAGTCTCAAGTGCGACTGGTTTTGTTTTCGTGATTACAAGCTACTGGGCAGATTGCGAGTACAATTCAGCGTCACAAAAATCTGTTCCAACGATATTATTTGAACCAGTGACGCGCTTTTGGCTGCTCGAAACGCTTCGACTGAAGCGATGGCTGAGACGGGACAGTCACCCGTTTTTCCAGCCACCTCCGAGACCAGTTGATCTATGGCTACAATATCCAATGGAGTACCAAGATGCAAGACAAGTTGAGAAGAAAGTGGGAATACCAAGGGAGGTTGAGGAGGAAATGACTCAAAACAAGCCGGAAAGCTGTCAACCTCGAGCAATTCATGATACGGACCATCGAATGCGGCTGTCATGCTCGCCTAATTTTCTCTTTCGAAACGAGGTGCCGCTGTGGCCTTACATTTCAGCTTACTTGGCTCAACCTATTTGCAATATGGACGAACTTGCGACGAGATTGCATGTGTACGAAGCTGAGTTTTTTTTACATTGGTAGAGAAATGGGTAATAGGGGAGAATTGAGTTTGTAACGTGCCATGTTGTGATTGCTACTGCAGTCTTACGCTGTCGGATCCAAGACGCAGATTCAATTGCTTGGAGTATGCAGTGAACGAGGTTTGTCATGTCTTCCTGGAGCTTTGCCAGGTGTTTGGTCTTTCTTGCGTGTCTAATAATGAACTTGATGCTGCTACTGTAGCTACTAACGAGAGAGGAGCAAATTACGTTTTTCAAAGACGTGCTGCCACAAATGGCACGTCTGGTGCTGGACTTGCCGCAGATGTTCCCAACACCACCGCTGCTACTAACGCCGCTGGAAGGGAATGACCCAACAGATGATGCTATCAGTGACAGCAACGTTTCAACTACGGAAGCTAGAGCTCGCGTGATGACAAGAAGCTGTCGGTTTTCCAAATTGGAAGTATTGACATTGGTGTGTGGCTGTTTTTTTGGTATTTTCCCCGATCAAGACATTGGAAGGAGCACACCCAGCCGGAAAGCGAATCGACGCGGCTACGATACAGGAACTGACGTGATTCGGTTCCCGTGCTTCACTGCAATTCGGTTGTTTTCAGCGCCTGGGAACATGGGCAAGTTGGTCGTGCTCAAGGGTCAAAAGATTCGATGTATCTTGCAATACTTCTTGCGCGTGGTTCCACTTTCCATTTCCAAGCGTGAGTTGCTCGAAAAAGAAGTGATTGACTTCACGCGGATCGGTGTGCACTTGCCACTCGCACCTGAGCGAATGAGTGCCGAACAAATGGCAAAAGATTTGTTCACGGTTGTGCAAAATTCCATGCAACAGGACAATGGTAATCAGCCTCGTTTGTACGCTGCGAGGTGTGTATCGGATACCCCAATCGAAGAGTTAGATTACCATTTGCAGATTGATTTTGCAAACAAATTTGCTGGAGGTGGAGTGCTCACCTCTGGGTGCGTACAAGAAGAAATTCGCTTCTTACTTTCACCTGAGCTACTGGTGTCATGCCTCGTGTTTGCCAAGTTGGAACCTCACGAAGCATTTGTGATTCATGGCACCGAGCGCTATTGTACACATGAGGGCTATGGTGGATCGTTTGTTTGTCATGGCAATTTTGAGGATATAACACGCTTCCAAGTCATGCCGGATGGGAACATCCGTCGAAACTGTGTGATCGTGGGCATGGATGCAACTGATTATGGGTCCGCGCAGGTGGAACGACAATATACTCGTGGTCATATATGGCGTGAGCTGGTCAAAGCTTATGCCGGTTTTGCTTACCCAGAAGCAAGCAATGGCGAGCTCAATTGGCCTGTAGCAAGTGGCAATTGGGGGTGTGGAGTATTTAAAGGAGACCGTGAGCTAAAGTTTCTGATACAATGGCTCGCAGCATCCCTGCACCGCCGCGAACTCGTCTACGTTTTATTCGAGAGTGACTCGTATCTCCAAACTATGGTAGATCCACTATTGACGCTTGCCACGAGCTCAGCAGCACGTAAGTGTGAAGTACTTCCATGGCTCATGGCATTTCTACTTGACGAGACAAATTTCGACCGCAAGATGCGAACCAAAGGGAGTGTGTTAACCCACGCTTTATGTTCGCTAGAACAAGCGCTGGCGTCGTTTCGAGCTCAAGTTTTAAGTCATGAAAACGATCTGCAGTGTACACAAGTGTCCCGATCGCCTCTAGTGTTGCCAGCAAGCAGGACCAAAGAATTGTCAAAGATCGATTCTTCTCGAAGTCAAGAGCTAATGAACGAAACAATGACGAAAAAGTCCAAGACGATGAAGACGGCGAGTCATCAGAGCACTTTACGCGATCATTTTGTACCCGAAGAGTGAGTAAGAAAGTAGGCAGTCAGCTATTGATTGTTCGGTAAAGACGTGCTACCAGTTGTTTGAGACACGCAAAAAAAGCACCACCACCACGTTTGACATGTAGGTTCTGACTGTATTAACCGCTAATCGAGACAACTAGTTGAGCTCGTCGACAGGTTCTGACCGTGTCACGTTGAAGGCGAAAGTAAAAAAAAACCAGACAGGTGGGAGCTCGAGAGGGAACTTGAGAAGTCGTGCTCGCGGTGGAACGCAATGGGGTTCTCCCTTTTTTACGCCCGTTTCGTATGCTGACTGCGCTCGTTCGTCTTGCGGACGGCACCTTGCGTCACAACATTAATTGCGTGGTTGTCCGTGACCATGGCCTTCAGAGTAGCCTCGGCAGCGACCTTGATGGGGTCGGGCGCGGTTTCAGCGGATGAAAGGGTCGCAAGAGCGGCGAGGAGCAACGGAGCCAAGGTGAGCAGGCGAACCATGACGCTGGAGTGAACTCTGAAGTTACTAGGTGCTGTCTCGGGGTTGGACAATGCGATTCTGGTCCGTGAATTGAGAGAGAGAGAGAGAGAGAGCGAGAGAGCGTTCCCTCGGTCCGTGCTTTGCAGAAAGACCGGTGGTCGATTCACCGGTCATTTGCCGTTGGATCAGACCGAAGGACAGAGCCAGCGGATTCTCTGTCGACTCGATCGCCTTTCCACATGGTCACACAACAGCTTTGCATCAGCTCTGAGCGTCTGGCTATGCATGCTGGAAAGAGCGTGAGTTGAGGAGGAGGAGGAAGTTATAGCGACTGTTTGTTTTACTATTTCGTTTGGTCACGAGCTGTCAACGATTTGATCTGCACGTTGGAACGCCGTTGACGTGGCATTACGAACCATTTGCAAAGCCTTTGGTGGGGTGCTGCACGCGTCTCGTACGCACAGATCGTTGGTGTTGTGGCTTAGCACGAATTACTAATGCGAGTCTAGGGAAAGTCGCAACGGGGTTACGAGAGCGCTTGCTATGTGTAGCGTAGGTTCAAGTTCATGGTGTCGTTGAAATGCTGTATCTGATCTGCCAGCCGCACGTTGTTCGGACAGTCGCGACACACACCGACGGTACTGTGGGCGTGGGTTTCGTGGGCAAGCTGGAGATCAGGACGTCGGTCTCGTGACGTCGCTAATTGCGCAAGTCTTTTACACAGCGACAGCATTGCGGTCGACTAGAGTGTTGGGCTTTTTCTGCAGTGCAAAAGAGGCGGCTGCTTCCTATTGCTGTACTACAGACAAACAGCGTAGTGCTCGGTCAAGGATGCAGGCGGTTATACGCAGGCACTAACCAGCATAATGGATGGCCATGCTGGACATTGCGATCCGACACGTATAGCCTGGTGGTTTTCATCGGAATAGATTTATTAGGCGCGGTTGCATCAGTAAGGATGCACGTCCACTCGGCAAGCTGCGGAGCGATATGTTGCAGGAGAGGCGCGATGAGGTATTGTCAACTGACATGAACACCCGAACAAATTGCTGCATGATGGTCAGCTCACATTGGTATCAACAAACACACTCTCGTCGAATGGTCGCGTAGTTTTTCATCAGCTTTACTGCAGACCGCAGTATCATTCCTTTGACTAGGCTGTGCGAGAGAGAAGTAACTTTGTGCAGTCGCAGTGCAGACAGAATAAGTGTGGGACTAGACTGCCAATGAATGACACATGCATTGTCAGCGCAGTACGATCGCTTTACTACTCCAGCTCATGGTGTTTCTTTGCGCTTGCAGCAAAAGACACAGATCTCATTCAATCTGTCACGCAAGCATTCACGCCATTAACGGGTTGTCGTTAGAGGACACACCACTGCCAGGTAAGTTTATGATAGCTATGAAGACTCGTGCGTTACTTGTGACGCACAATGTCGTCTACTGCACGGACGTCACTCAGAAATCATCTACACTTGGCCTTCCCAATATAAATTATTGCAAAAAGTGCCGTAGATCGACCTCGTTGCAAGTGCTGGTGTCGTGCGGTGCGTTAGAAGGTCAGGAAGTGCACACGCAACTGAGAAGCACTGTCGCCACTAATGGAGCTTTGGTCGATCGTCACGCACGGGCTTTCTTCACGTGAGCGAGTGACCACGTCGTATCGTTTTTAGTCAACGCAACTATAAAAAAGGATGCAAGGTACTGCTACCACAGTCGATAGTGCAATTGACCACACAGCAGGCATCGTATATGTCGAGACTACAACCCGACCAACCGCTTACTTAGACAACGACAACGCATCAATCCTATCGAGACTTGCCGCACCTCTTGGACCTGCCGTGGGCAGTGCAAACTACATCCCTGTAAACTGTGGCATAGTTCACCGAAACGGCTTAGCATAAACGCTTTTAAACAGGTGGAGAGGGAAGAAGAGTCGACAGCTGACACTTGGAACTTTATCCTCCCAGCTGCTTCATCCGATACATCCTGTCCTTTCAGCTGCTCTAGAAGTACAACTACCTCACTCGATGTGCGTATGACACGCCTCGTGGTCGCTCCACGTCGCTTCGTCGACCTTGTGCACAGAAATGCACCGACCTGACGACAGCTGGCCGTCTGCTTGTTCATTGAAGCGGCTTTTCCCGTCCTTGTTTTTACTTTCGTCGTCGTAGAAGGTCTTCATTCTAACAAAGCCGTTCAACATCCGTCACCACCCGCTCTCCTCTTCTCTCTTCTTCTCTTCTCCATTAAGATGCGTGTCCTCGCCTACTGCGCCATTGTCTGTCTCGCGGCTGTAGCAACTGCTGACAACGTCGCTGTCGACGAGTTGGTCAATAGCGTCACTGCATCGGCTACGAACGCTGCGACGAACGTGGTGAACAACGCAGTGAACGACGCGGCATCTGCTGCCACTGACGCCGCTAATAGTGCTGCTGATAATGCCGTGAACTCAATTACGGACGCTGCCAACAGTACTGTGGATGGTGCCATTGGCGCCATTACCGATTCCTCGAAATCAGCTGCTGAACTCGTGGGCGAAGCAGGAAGTTTGCTGGAAGAAGCTGGCAGCGTCGGGTCAGCTTCGGACGCTGGCTCGTCCACGGCGTCGGCCATGGGCCCGTCTTCAGGTCTTGTCATGATGGCGCTTGCAGTCGCTGGACTTGCACTGAACTTTGCCTAAGCTCGCGTGGACTTCTTCAAGCCCACGTGTAGACAGGAGTGCCAACTTTACACACAGACCCTAGCGAGGTATTCATAATAAACGTCAATACATTTGTCAAATTGAGTTGTACAAGACTGTTGTTAGTTCCTAGCAAGGGAGTGAGTGAGGGAGGAAGCAAGCAATGCACTTGGTCAACACAGCTGCTGCTGGAGTCGTGTATTCCAATGGTCATGCTGCGGTCTTAGCTTACTTGTTGCATAGCAAACTCTAGAAATGGACAAGTACTACCAGGTAAACGATTCTCAGTATTTGCATAAAGTGGGAGCTTGTACCTGAGCTCCGCTCGTCCGGATCAACGAACAGTACAACACGAAGAAGCTGTAGAAACCCCAGCGGACACGCTCACCCATAGGCATGTCCTGGGTCTTCTTCAATATACTTCCTCTCCATTCACACCACTTCCCCTATCCTTGCACGACCTCAAACGACACGCAACTCTGTGCCTTTCTATCCATCATGAAACTACAGTCGCTCGTAATCGACTTAGAAGAAGAGTCCAGTGATCGCGACGGCAGTGACCGCCACGAGAGCGAGAGCAGGCGTCCCATGTCCCGAAGCAGCCGAAGATTCCGACACAGGGGCAGGCGTCGCACTCTCGACCGGAGCTGGAGCTGGAGCAGGAGCTGACTCTGGAGCTGGCGTTGGTTCAACGTAGTTGTCCGGATCCCAATCCGCAACGGAAGGTGCCGCTTGCGAGCCATCCTCGACATCGTCAATTCTCGTCTCGATGACCTCGTTGCTCACGCTGTCCGAGATGACGGCATTCGGCTCGTCCACAGGACCTTCTTGCTCCGCCGCTTGGGCCGCGGCGTTGTCCACTGGTTCATCATCGGCCGATGTGGCGACCGCTGCATTAGCGGCAAAGGCCACTGTTATTGGGTCTGCTTGGGCCGAGACCGAGGTCGACATTGCGACGGCAGCAAGAGCCAGAAGCGCGAGGTAGTGCATTGAGCGAACCATTGGTTCGTGAGTGTGTAGCGGATACTTCTACGTTGGCAGATAGGTAGATTGGTACAGATGTAGTGTGGGAGCAGAGCTTTGGTTGTCGAGGGGTGTTTGTCAAGTGAGCAGATCACGAGCTCCGTACCACACAAACACGGGGGGATCAGGTACTCGGAAAACGACGTCGTGACGACTTGACCATCTCGAATGAACCACTGCAACAAGTGATACTAATGCGAGACGCGATTTTTAGCGCTCTTTTGACGACATGTCGCTCTCGGTCTATGGACATGGACGAGAGGTGTCTCTTCTTCGATGGGAAAGCTTTTCCTGGCCGAAAACGACTGCATCACTAAAGCAGAGAGAGAGAGAGAGAGAGCGTCGAGGCGTATTTGTCCCCAGGTTCCTACAATTGTTTGGTCGAGACACCCTCTGGCACTGCGAAGTAGCAGGGACATTTCGCTTGCCATCTGCTACGCCGTCGCGTCGTGCGATGGTGAGGCGAGAGGAGTGCAGTGTCGAAGCGTGGAAAGGATGCCGATACTTCCTGCTTGAAACAGAGCGGGAGCAAGGAGTCCGTGGGCTAATGAACTGAATGATAAAGCGAGCGGACCATGCACCATGTCCGTGTCTACACTTTGTCAGGCAAAGTTGCCCACCTATCTGCCAGTAAATAAGTAGTTGTTGCAACGACTACAACTAGTGCAGCTCTAGCTGCTCTAATTCTACAAAAGAGCGCCAGTAACGTCAGTTATTCTCGTGTTCCTTTTGCTGGCATTTGCATGGAACTATCGACGAAAGCCTGGCGAAGGAGCAGAGGTGGATACGTCGACAGGCAACAACTGCCTTACAAAGCGCAAGTCACGCGTACCAGATCGCGGTGGATTCTTCTGTGCTGCTCCATCTGACTCCACGTCGTGCGAAGCGCCTTTTATCGGTACAGTTTAGGTCACATGCGTCTGTCTAGAAGTAGTTGATGCACGTCACTAGATACTAAAGAGACCGTTGATGTGGCATCACGGGACGCCAACTTCATGTTGCTATAGTACTTGATTCCTTGATGATGCAAGCGAGAGACTGGTCGTGGACGTCTTCATGACCATGGTAGCATGTACGGGAACGAAGAGTCCAAGCACATTGCCGGATAGAATATGTATCAAGTACAATAGTCATTGACTCGACAGACGTTTCGTCAGCTATGGTAGAACGCTTATCCATCGATGATGGCGACCTGTTTCCATTCGGCTAGGACATCAGCAATAAAAAGTAGTTTTTACAAGTGGCACCTGATGAGCTATCGATACAAACGACTTCCAAGAGCGAGTCGTGTCGTGGCTACATATTATCGATCGCAGGTACAAACTAAACTTGATTTACAAAGATAACGTCGTCGCGTAGTGGATTTCTCCTTCCAACGTACGTGCTTCCTTCTCGATACACAAGTCGGCAATCGTCGCTTACTATTCTGCTTGACTTGAACCGTGAAAAGTGCTACAAACTTCTACACATTGCTCGTTTTGCAGCCTTCGTCCCATTCCTCATCCCGGCGGATAATGTGGATAGCAAACCTTGGCTCTTGTGCAATTCACATGGACAACAACCCGCACCCGTATCCACAATTTCCTAAGGAAACCCCACAGTCGGACCATCACAGGATCAACGACGAGCACCACTCTGATATCTCAGAGAAAGAACGCCCTAAAAAACGCACACGTCCAATCGTGGACTCAAGTACCACGTGTGCCCCGGAGATACTTCACTGCCGTTATGCCAATAAGAAATGTCTAAATTTACGCGCGGTTAAGCGATCAGGTGGTCTGCATACCTTTTGTGCCGTGCATCGAGCGAACGCTAATCGTAATCAGAGACGATTAGATTTGCGGAAACGTATGGCTCGACAAGCCATGCGTATGCTTCAAAAGAAGGGTCCGTTATCCCCAATTCACAATGTCTCCGCGCTTCTGCAACCAACAGAATCAATGACGAGTGTCACCGTGTCAGTCCCCTCTGATTCAAGTGGGTATGTTGACGATCGTTATGAGCCACTGCAGTCGCCTACGCCGTTACAAGAAGAAGACATAGCGACTCTGGTCTCGCTTTTCCTACCTCCGTGATCTTTGGGTACCATGGATATGGTTGGAGTAGACGTACTAAGGCTACAATTTAGTTAATGCGAACGAAACGAGGTAGTAGGTTTTTGGGTTCAGAAGAGGGTAACTAGCATCCGATAGGGGCGTCGATAAACTCTTCTTAAGTTGTATTTGTAATAGGTGATTGAGTCAGTGTCTCAGCGGAGATTAAATGGTCGATTATTTAGAATTTCATTATCATACACGAAGGTTGTTCGCTGGGCCTACATGATGTTTCGTTAGGTGTCAAGCGAGTCTCTCGTATCAAGCACTGCGCCCTGTAGAAGAAGGTCGAGCTGTTTTGGTGAGCACCTAGCCGTAGCATTTCATTTTTTGGATCAAGTCAAGCAAATCTAATGCTTCATTAAGGGCGATTTTTGTGTGCAAGTAGAAGCTAGCTTAACAGCAGCATTTGGACCGAACGGTGCAGCATTTACCTTTCGATCAAAAGTGCTGCTTGCCGTCACTCCTGTCCGTTTGCTGCTTTGCAAACGCCATCAGCTTCGCTGTCTTGCCGGCTGAGTATATTACTGATTCGATTTTGTTAGCATTCCTTGATGTAGATGCAATCTTGTAAGGCGTTTGCTAGACAAAAGAAACAAAGGTGTTTTACCAGTTCATTTATTTCAGATTGAAGAACTTGACCTGCACAAACGTGTCAGCAACAAACCAGAAATTTGAAAGAAGAAGACACAGAGAATAGAAACGTAGAGGATTCCTTTTAGAAATGCTCACAAATCTTATGGTGTGTGAAACCCGATTTGTTTACACAGTCACAACTTAACAATACATAGCGATGTTCTTGCGCCTTTAAAGTGTGGCTCATATTCAGGTCTACTTTTCTGCCTACGAAACAAGGTGCAAAAGGTCCAAAGGCTCCACCAAACTTGGTGATCATAACCTATTATGACGCTAGCCTCATTGTAGACTGCGAAGAACTAAGTGCCGATTTTGATCAGAAGCTATAAGACGCGTATGATTTGCTTCGTATAGTTGGCTACAGGTATGCAAGGTACTATTGAACGTCTGTGGCGTGAAAACGCAGTTGTTTTTGGAGAGACGCGAACTCGAGCCATCAAATCCTTTCATAGCGCACTCAAGCCGATAAAATGCAGGCTTCTACTTTCGAACCGTGTGCTGCCACTAATGACGCTTCCATTTCTGAAGTTGTGACGTTAGCTATCATCCAAAGCAATGCACTTTCATCTGCATCGCGGACTTTAAGTCCGTGAGGAGATCCCTGCAACAGACCAAACGACTCAGAGTGGTTCAAGTGCTAGCGGATTCACATGTAAAGTCCACGTAAACAATATAAATCCCGCATTGTAATCCACTTTTATACCAATGGTATAATCCACTACGCATTCGGGAAGCTTTAAATTATGGAGCTTAGTTCCAAGAGGCGAGGGAGCCGTGTATACGTAAAGCTTTCAAAAGAGCTCAGCTTTGCTATAGTTGTGACTTGGTGTGACCTATTCTATGCCCAGTCGCAAGGATGCGCTATGTCATCGACAATAGCAGCATGTTCATTGCTACAGGAAATTGCGTTGCCGCAATCAAATGGTGAAAGCAACACTGGATATAAAAATGTCGATGATCCCACTATTACTGGCGAGCGCTTGATCAGAGCGCCGATGCGTAGAAATGTTGTACATGCACTACTCAATTTGCTGCAAGTTGAGGGCACGCACTGATGGCGGCTGCATTGTCAGATACATGCAGCGGATAAGGTAAGATTTAGATAGGAGTCAGCCGTTACAATACATGGATAAATGTTTGATGTCTGTTGCGATGAAAGACGCTAATCAGTACGTTTATCAGCTATGGGCAATACACATTCCTTTGATTGCAACGGGATGAAGCACTATCCTGTCGTGGGTCATGGTGCTGGGATGTACCAGCGTCACAACGACACTCTGATGTTGTCTTTGAGACGTGCTGGATTACAAATGGGAGAAGCATTGATGTCGCGCGATCACTTAACGTGATAATGGTGGTGACTCCTCTCTGATGTTATTCTTTGTACTTTAATTACAAAAATGTTGACACGAGCATGCACCCGAGTTATGATGAGAGCCGTTGTACCTTTGTTTTGTAATAATGCTCTTAAACTGTTTAAGCCACTCCCAATGATTTGTGTTGAAAGCATTACAGCTGATACAGCCTATCGTTTCGATCGCTTAAGCCGTCCACCATCAAGGTGCTCGTCGTAGTAAGAAACGTCTGCAAAAACGAGGTATTGACCTCGTCTTCCGAGTCCGCAGCAGGAACCCGTCGTAGACGCATGCAAAAACTCAGTGTCCCAATGAACAGATGTACCGTGTTTGAATCAGTTTCAACCAGAACTTTTGTTCGTCCACTTGTATCATTTCGGTGGTGAAAGTTCGACCCTTGTCGCACATTGGATCGAACCTCGGGTTACTTACTACCGGATGATCACGCGTGTCGTACAGCGCAGTCACAATGTCTCTCTAATGCCATGAACCGGTGGCTCTGACGTCATCGATTGACAGAACATAAGACCGCTCAATTCACAGCACCAACGATTCAGCACGACCCGTTTATAAATAGGGGGCCTATCGGGCGTAGAAAAATTTGAAACAGCGATGCGACGACTCGCTGTCCATGGCTTCTCGATGGCCCACATTACGTGGCTCCAGCGTGTGTGTGTGTGTGTCGGGAATTGAGACGCGCCGTCTAACCTGTGACATCGCTCCTTGAATTTCCAAGACAAAGCTGGTTCGACACAAAAATCGTTCTTTATACGGACGCTCGAGTCAGTAGCGCCATGATCACGACAAGACGAAGAAATCAGATGTAGCGTGCGACCTGACTGAGCGGTACAGCGATGGGATCGCGTCCGATCCACTTTGCCACGCACGACATGTAGAAACCCACCGATACAAACGCTATAGAGTTTGGCTTCTCGTCTTCTCCCACAGCTTCTTGCCGTCGCTAGCCTCGCAATCGTAAGTATCCACTAACTCGAAATAGTGGCCAAAGTCTGGACATGGGATATCAGCGCAAAGGTGTCCAGATCACGACGCCGCGGCTGCGTCCCGCTTCTGAACAGCTGGGCTTCTATAGTACAGCATATCCAGAGTATCAGGGTATAAAACCTCGAGAGCTTGGATGCAAGTGTCTTTGTATCAGCTCTTTTTCCTCGCATTCATCATCTCTTGCAGGCATATGCAGTCTCATGGACCGCCCATCACGGGCTCCGATCCCGAGTGGAGACAGCCAGGCGCCCGTGTGCGAAGCACCCTGTTCTGCCATGCTCGACACGTTCCTCCTCGGGCTCTCAATCCCCAACTCTACTCACGCCAGTCAACCGTCTTTTTCGCATTCTTGGGACAACACCTACCTATAAAAAAAAGCCAACGCAATGGACCACTTGCTCAACCAGCAGCAACAGCAGCAGCCCAATGCATCGTTCCCAGACGACACGTCGACTCCGGATGACCACGTTGTGATCAAGAACGAGACTTTGAAGGCGACACCTGACCCGCTCTGTGTTTCGGCTTCACCGACGCTCCCGAACTTGACTTCGCGGCTCCTGCACTCGGTAGTGAGTCCCAATAGCTCTGCTGCTAGTTTGGGACTGCAGATGCTATCGAGCTCGGCTGCTGCCCCACCAGCTCGATTGACTGTACCAGCTTCGTCACCCCCTCGCCTTCCGCCGATTAGTCTCTTGACGGCAGCTGCTGCGACGTTGCAGCAGCCCGTGCAATGCTACCCGCCTGCCATTGATCCACCCTATCATTTACGTCCACTACTAGTGACGCCGTTGGCGTACGCGGCACCAGCTGTTCCGGCTTCGACTCTGCCTTCCCTCCCACAGTCTAGTACGGACCGTCCGCAACTGGACGACCGCCTGTGTCGCTACCGCAATAAAAAGTGCGGCTACCCTCGCGCGATCAAGCGCAATGGCGAGCGCCACAACTTGTGCGAGCACCACCGCGCGAAAGCGAATCAGAACCAGCGGAAGCTCGAGAGCAAGCGACGCGTGAAGAAACGGATGGTCGCGGATCGCGTGGGCAAAGAAAAGAAGATGGTCGTGTCGCCCGAGTTCAAGCTCACGTTGTATGGCGATACTGCTTTCGCATGAGAAGAGGTTGGCCAACTGCGATGCAAAAGAAGCTGGAAGGAGACTTTGGGAGGATGGTGTTTGAAGGAAGGATCATCGGAGGGTTTGGTTCGAGCACGTCAAGGGAGTTGCGGCGGCGACACGTTTGTAGTTGCGTATCAACTCAGCGAGCGAGCGTAGCGAAGACATGTATAAGTTATGAATGCAAGAAGACAGCGGGGGGGGGCAGTTGAGCAATATGTTGTGTGTAGCTTTTTTCATGTGCTTTGGGTGTTGGATGCTGATGGGGAATCTGTTGGCTTTTGGATCGAAACCTTGGGGCTTGAGTGCATGATTTCGCAAGCGTGACACGAGTTAAGAGTGTTCAGGATAAAGGCGCAGACAGGTTTTGTGGAAAAATAAATGCAGTGATCACGTGACAGTCTATCGGAGTACATTTCGATGCAGAACGATTCTTTGTCGGTTTTGAGCTTGCAATATGTGTGTACATCGTGGCCTTGTATCAAGATCAACATACTGTCATGTTCTGTAGCGTTTCTTGAGATGCATTTGCTGCCATCTTTTGTAAGCAGGAAGCTGGCTGTTGCTGAATGTGCCATTGACTTGATCATGGAGCGTTTAGACGTAGTAGCGTTGAGTGAGGTACACATTGCCAAGATCAGAGAGCTGTAGCACCTTGTTCCAAGGCGGTAGACCTTTGACTTTATCACTACGTAATATAACCGAATAAAACCAAGTTAAGTTACACATGCGCTTTACGACCGATTAGGATCGTCTTGCTGCCTTTAACGATGCCAAGCTGGCGTGGTAATGAGTCCAGAGCTCGTCTCTGCGTAGTGTGTGATACCATAAATGACTTTAGCGATGCTTCTCTGCCAGCAATGCCTAAACAAAATTCGAGAAAGATCCATGCTCGCACGAGCATGATCATTGTGTGCGTTGGTGCAAACGACTACGTATCATGGAGCTTCATCCGTCTTGCCAGTTTAATCGAATAGCTGTAAGCAATGGAAGACCGGACGCTGCACATTCTCGCAACGACAATGAGTAGGAAGCACCGGTAAAGTCGTGAGTGTGCTGTAGCTAGCAGATAAATTGTGAGTGACTTGAGTAGGCGCTTTCGAATTGTTACAAGAAAATCAATAATTTTTACCATCGAGTGCCCTGTAGGAAATGTGCAATACATAGAGGTAGCTGAAGGGTCGCAGTTTTTACATATTTTGACTTTGGAAAGGTTGCAGAATGTTTGATAGATCTTCGGTCTAGCTAGCAATACTGCTCCCTCGTGTAATTTTTGGTGCATGTTAAGGCTTGTCACCAGAATTTCAAATTGGGCTCCCACACCCACGCCCATGGTTTCTTAATTGTCATGGGTTCGACCGACAATTGGTAGGTGAGCGTGAAGTCGCAAGCTTAAATTATCCAGCATCATAATTTGCTGTATCTTTACTTTTTACGGTGTAGGAGGCTATTTGGGCAGTGTAAATTTGGTAAACTGGGCAAAAGAATTTGGGTGGGTGTGGGTGGGCAGAGCCTATCCAGGCTATTGGATTTTAGCCAATGGGTGGGCGCAGTAAGCTCCGATTTTAATTTTCTGCTTGTCACTTTTCGTGACAGCTCTCTGGGTTGGCTGGCTATGTTAGGCATTAACACACCAGCAGACATAATCCTGGTATTTTCGCACCAGCCCTCTGGTACTCCGATTCGCTACAGCTTGATGTTGCTGCATGCCCCTTACCCAAACGCTCCATGACACTTTTATAGTGACGTCCACATAAAAAGAGCCTGAGCTCTTTGTCGCCACAGGCTCCAGTTGCTAGGCCCATGCTACCGTCACATACACACTTTTGCACAAAGCATACATTGCCTTGTCCATAATTAAGCCACCCGGCGCTCGTCTTCGTGCACTATTTGCAAGGATGACGTGCACGCACGCGTCCAAAGTCCAAATGCTGTCCTTTTTAGTGAAACAAGTTTCGGTCAACAGCCTGCGCGTGGGGAACCTACAGAACAGCTAAGCAACGCAGCTAAACGATGGAGCCAAATTTTGCATTAAATAAATGGCGCAGGTAAGATACATAGACCAACTGAATAAGACCCAAAAAGCCTAACGGTCTGTCAATTGTGTTTTATTGTTTTTCGCGACAGGCTATCGCTTTGTACGGGGAACAGCGTCCACTTGTTGTGGACCACGTTTAAAGCGCGCCGTGCTGCTTAAGTAGCGGCTCGAGCTTGCCATCCTTGTGCAGCTTCTGCACGTCCGAGTTGCCACCAATGGATTGGCCCCCGACAAAGACGTTGGGCACCGTACTTTGACCCGTGATCTGCTCCAGCGCGTTTTGCTGCTCGCTGCCTTCAGATACCTGATCCAGTTCCACGACCTCGAACTTGACTCCCAGCTGCGTCAGTAGCGTCTTAGTCTTGGTGCAGTACGGACAGTAGGTCTTGCTGTACACCACCACGGGGGACGCGGCAATTTGGGCTTCCACAGTTTCTTTGGCACTCACCATGTTCAAAAAAGCTTCGACTGTTCTTAGACAATGACTCACAAGTAAATTGAGATGTGACGACGATCTTTTGACGCGGGGTTCGATCGATCGGTCCTGAAGGTTCTTTGTAGCCAATCCAGTGGTCTTGATTAAGTATCATGTTTGCTGGTACTGTTGGGTCAGACTGATGTGGTCGAAATCTTCTCGAACGTGTTCGAGCACGTGGACGGGCGTGTAGATTGCGTAAACATGCACGCGAGGTCGCTGATTTTTCTGATGTATACTTATCGTGTCACCCTATTGTAATGTCAACTGAAAGCTGACCGTGGACAGAGGGCCATACTAAAGGCCATGAATACTCGGTCGAACCTGTGGACTGTTTGCGTACTTTACAACAGAAGAGATTGCGCGACTTCGAATGGACCAGCACTTGCGGCTGTAAACGCAATCGATTGCGTCACTTCATGATGCCGTTTCGGGTTCATGACGTTCGTTCGACGATGGCGCCATTCTGACGTGAGACGGAAGTTGACTTGGCTCGGAGCTTGAGACCGGGTTACGTCCATGCTTGGCCTACACTACTAGTCAAAGCATCTTGACAAGATGCAAACCCTGAGCGTCGAACATCGTTCGTGTCGACATCAGGTGCTCTGCTTACAAACTCTCGTAGAACTTTTCGTCTAGCGTGCTCCAGTTCAATGCAGAGATTTAAACCCAGCTCTGTCCCTTCAATTTTGACGGATGCTTTTCAATTTGTACAAACATTTGTGGTTGATGGCATAAGCTACCATGTTCAATCAGGGGTGACAGATTGATCGCATCATTGACCCGGTCGAGCCGTTGGACTGCGTCGTGTCTATACCGAAGTACTGCTTACTCGATCAACATGCGCTCGACATGGTAGACCTCGACTGAACGGGCTCGAGTTGGTGAATGTCGACAATCAGTCTGGCTGCGTTAAACTTTAGACCGGACGAGATATCCAGTGGCTCAGCTTGGCCATCAACATTTTTCGATTCTTGTCCACCGACTAGCCAAGGTCGGCGCTGCACACAGCCTACGAAGGGATGCCGGCTAGCTTGAGTTTGACATTTACTGTAATACGTCGACACAAGCGCATCAGAACCAAGGTCTGCTTTGCAAGCCTCAAGATTGGTTTCTTTTTACTAGGCGGCACTGAACGAGACCCACTCCGTAGCGTTTAAGGTATAGCTCGCTCTGCTGCGTCCCTATTTGTCGAGGTAGGATACAGCACATCATGATGCATTCACCGCACGACTGTCGTGGCGTACACATCCGAAATCGGTCATAATCTCGGAAGGGTTACGTTTCACAAGGAATGGCACACTTCAGGTACGAGGTACGCGTATCGTGGCGTACTGAGGTGTGAAGATACTACGCTCTGGAGACATGTTAGGTCCTGACGATCGAGTATTACTTGTCGTGGACAGCCTACATAATATCCTGTGCTGGACCACCCCGTCGCCATGAAATCTTCACGTATGCTGCAAGGAATTGTCGACAAAGCTTCTCACATGAGGGGTATGTGTATCAAGAACATGCCTTTCCAGTCATGAGTGCGTCAGCAGCTCGTCTGGTGGAAGTGACGCTTTCGATGGAAGTCGGATTACTTATACGGTCACTCCATCTCCCGTGGATCGCACAGCGGCATCGTTAAAACACTCACCTATGTGCGAGTATTGCACATGGCTGTACCACGCAGTGGCCGTAATCAAAGTAATTCTCTTTCGCGTACAGTGCATCCCAGTGTCAATTGTAGTGAGCATTCTCTGCTTCTTCCATCCTTGCATATCATTTCTCGTCCAAGCGACCACGAACTGTCAGTGGTGTTGTTTGTGTCAATGTACTGCTCGAAGCCGGTACCCCTCCGCCGTAAGTAGTTCAATTCATGAGTGAGTGAGTATCAAGTGTCAGTTGTAAGAATCAGGGATAGCTGTCGATATACTATGGGCTAACTAGGCAAAAGCTTCGCGGTCACAAATGTTCGAATGCATTGGGTTTGGCTACTATGGCAATGAGATGAATGTCACTTCGTATACTCTTTGCCATCGGACTGCCTTCAACTAATCCAGATCTCAACACCAGTGTTGACCGAAGAGGACCTAACGAACACGCTATATCCCTGATGTCTACGGCCGACTCGACAATCTACATTACCTCTTGTGTCTGCTGCCCCACCACTACGTTAGTATCTGCTACATGTAGCGTCATCCAATCCAGAAACTTCATGCACTTTGAGAAACGTGGAGGAGGTGCGTACGTCCTGCAACTCATTTCGACGCGTAAACTACTGTCCTTAGTGAGACGATTAGCAGGTGGTCAACTGTCGGGACTCTTGTGGTATCGAGAACTTCCACTTGATCTGGCCTTATCGTCCGTCCTTGTTGATAGAGATCGCTCTCCATGCCATCGGCTGGCAGCATCAGCACTTGACTGAAGCTGTCCCATGTCCTTTGCTTTGGAGACTGACTATCCACGATCATCGACGCCGTGTGACGGCGCTCCAGTCGGAAGTATCACGATGACCACTTTGCAGACGTCAGGTCATAACTCAATTCGCAACAAGTCGCACGTACTGGCATCTCTATGACTCTTACCGAGGAAACTCGCTTTGATCTCTTGCCAACTTTTGGCCTCAATGCACTTGCAGCATTAGCGACTGTCCTCGGCGGATGTGTCATCTTCAGCAACAAGCTCTTACAACTAGCTAGTCCAATGTCCATGGCTGTATTGCTCAGCGTCTCGGGAGGCATCACGCTGTTCCAAGCGCTCGTTGTGTTATTCGCAAACTCCCTCAAGGAATTGAACAGCGTCTTCAGTCGCGACGACACTCAGCACACTGCAAACAAAAGAGAGAACGACAGCGAAGACGATCTAGGTACTGCTTGGCTTGTCACTACGGCGTGCTTTGGAGGAGGCATCTTTATCAGTTACCTCGTCGATCTAGTCGTGCACAAGCTCACGCCGGGTCAAAACGTGAATGGCACAGCACGATTGCAATCAGATCGTCTATCGAACGAAGAAGGTCGCGTTGATGTCAAGCCACCGGTCGAGTTTATGCAGAGCCAACAAGGCAGTGACGTGTTTATCAAAATGGACGAAGCAGCCAAGGAAAAGCTGCAGCGTATGGGCGTGCTCAGCGCCCTTGCTGTGGGTATTCACAACATCCCAGAAGGAATGGCAACGTTCGTGGCCTCCACAGCGCACGCTTGGCTCGGTTTGTCGCTAGCAATTGGCGTTGCACTGCATAATATCGCTGAGGGCATTGCTGTTGCAACTCCAATCTACTTTGCAACGAGCAGCTCGTGTCGTGCTTTGCTCTGGTGCTTTTTACCCGCTCTCGCACAGCATCTCGGCGGGCTTATTGCCTTTGCCTCCATGGGTAAACATGCCGATAATTGGACACGTGGAGTTCTCTATGGGCTATGTGCTGGCATGCTTGCTGGCATTAGCTTAAAAGAGATCATCCCGACTGCCTACATGTACGCCAACGGCCGACCTCATTTGGTTTCGGCCGGCAGTCTCGGTGGCATGTTCCTCATGTCTGCCGGTCTCATCTTGTTCAAGTACATCGGCGTGTAAGTGCCTAAGCGTAAACTACTGCGTAGAAAGTGAACGGATAGCAGGACAGTTGTCCACATTAGCGAGCAAGTTCTAAATGAAAAGTCGTGTACATGTGTATTGTTGAATGACGCTTCTGTCTTGACGAAGAAACTTGATGTTACTGACTATTATTACTACCACCTGCTTCAGCCTTTTGCATCCTTTGGTACAATAGAACGCACTGGGTAAGATGAGACTACTGCTATTGACATGCGGTACGTGGTAAGACTCGCCTGTGTGAGTCGAGGAGTCGGAATTTCACGTGAAGATGCTGTGACGTTCAGCTGAGCTGTTGTAGCTCTTGGCTCCCAGGTCCTTTGCCTAAGATCTAGTAGCCTTCGCGATCCACACTTTCAAATGATCACTCAAGAGCAGACCACAGTGGGTGATTAGATGGCAAACTTCATCGACCACGTGGGATGACAGTAGTTACACTGATACTGGGTTTGAGTACGCATGGCCTGACTTGATGACAAAGCGTGTCCTTCTCTCGAAGACCATGCAGTGGTCGATTGATGGTCAAGCATGTCACTTACTTTCTCGTCTACTATAGTTTGGTGTCACGAGCTTTGCATATTGTCGTGGGCTGCGTTCTAGAAGCACACAGCGGGCTCAATACACGCAGTGACACGACACGGGCCAGTCGGTTCTACTAGGTTTTGCGATACATGTAACAGGAAGGTTGAACAAGCTTGTTTATAGCAATAGTAGCTTCCTTGCGAACGAGTGCGTCGATTTATAGTACTGTGGTGGTCTACCGAAAGCGAATGGATGCAGCATACCACTTGAGTCTTCTTACATCGACCTAGATGGCTTGTGTCGTGCTTCACATGTTCGACTCATGTACTTACGCAAGCTCCTGGTATCGTATTGACAAATCAGCAGTATCGATGACCTGACGGGGTTAGTCAGCATCGTCAGTGCTACTTGCTACGGCCCCGACCGACTTAAACAATAGGGAGTAACACTAGTTTGCACCTATGTTCATACTAAGTCAAGAGAGGAGCAAATGCGTCGTCTTAGATGTAAAGAAGGAGAAGAAAGACGCGTGTCTTCGTCTTGGAAGGGGACGTCTGAGCCTTGCAAGGCGAGATCGGCTCATCGTTGACAAACATCGAGGCTCTCGTGTAATCGATCAAGCACGAGAACTTGCTGATTTGATAGTCGGTTCATCCGTGTGCCCACACAAAGAGCTTGTCTAAAGCGCACGCGTCGCTTACGTGGACATGCCATGCAGTCAGACGTGATTAGATTTTCGCTGCTTACATTGGACGACCAGGTAACTTCATCGATGCTGATGTCTGCGGATGTTCACGTGGAAACAGAGCTCTGCAAGCCCGGTGCGTTGTAATCACTTTGAAGTGTGACACGGAGGGAAAAGTGAACGTATTGTACACAAACTCGTTGTACGCTTTTAAGCCAGAGCAGCAGCACGATCACGTGTTGATCAGGCCCAGCACAGTAATTGTGGACTCGAGTAATGCATTTCCGCGCAATTAATAATACCCGAGGCACTAGCGACTACAGCTACCGCTTTTTACGAGAGGCTGCTGGAATGTGCTCGCAAGATGCAATAGAGTGTTCACTTTTTTTCACCAAGGTTGGGACACGATTGCCGCTTGCATGGCGGGTCAATATTTAGATGTGTTCAAATTTGTATGCGATCCGTACAGAAGGCACCAGAGTGGAGAGGAGTTGAGTAGAGTCCTATGTGGCTGGTCCATTTGAAGCTGAACAAAATGCGCTGACGTTTTACAGGAATGGAAAAAAGGTCCAGGTTGTATACGGTTATTACAGGATAATCGATGCGATCGTTCGGACATCATCTTAGAAGGGCTCATGATTTACTTCTCCACCGGTATATCGGTACTTTCGCACCGGAGCCACATCAAAGTCCAGGAGCCAGACACCACAAAGCTTGGATCAAACAGTCGACTATAGGCCAAAGAGCCGCACTCACCTCTTTCTTCCTATGTCCTCCTCTTGTATCCAGAACTTTGTATCTAACTCGAAGCAGCACCTCTAGTTGAAGTTGCCAAGCTCTCGCGTGCTCCTTCTTCTCGCGTCTGCTCATCCCCTTTTTATATCTAGAAGCCGCAGGTGTCCCATCTGCAGCTTCCATGTCTACCAGCAAACGACTGCTCATCTCCCACTAATCTAAAGCTCGGATGACACTTTGCCGCTGTTTCTATACGCGATGATGCATCGAATTCCGCTTTTTAAGTCCTGCGTCCATTGGTCGGATCCTTGCCTGTAAGAGCTCTATTTGTTTGCCCATTTTAACACCGTTCTAAAAAAGGGTACGCTTTCTTAGTGCGTCAAGCGTGACGCAGCTCACATTCTGCGAACTGTCTTGTCAAATGTATCGAGTGAGGCGGGGCCTTGGCGACTTTTGTGTCCATGTCAGGATTGACAAATCCACGACTAAAACGACGTTAACTCATGATAGTGCACTCCCGTGAATAAACAAGCAAACAAGTCAATTAATGCATCAACTAATTGAACCACGATACATACACATACATACTTGGGTCACTACGGGTTCTTACTCTCGGTCGCGATCCGGAATACTCAGTAGCATTGCCGTCTCTTTTAGTTCGTCATAAGTTGGTTCTAAGTGAGAACAATCATCACCTTGGAGCGGCTCGAGGAGATGCAAATGACGGGGCAGTCCTCCTGTTCGCAGCTGCTTTTCGTCGTTACAGATTTCACCGCTAGAACCCCATAGATTCTTGATACCTACAGAGCTCCATGGACTTTTGTCACCTTCCTGTTCATGCCATTGCAAAGTCCTCGAGTTGCACCCCTTTTGTAGCGTTTCCTGCTTTGGTAACCGTTTCCGCTGCTCCGAGTTGCGTTGGTTTTGGTTTGCGCGCTCGCGGTGGATCTGGCAAAAGTTGTGCAGCTCGCCGTTGCGCTTCTTGGCACGCAAGTTTAGACACCGCGTGCTTTTGTATTTGCACCGCAACTCATCGGGTGGATCAATGGCTCGAGCAGCTGCAGCAGCAGCTCGTTCAGCTGCGTAAAGTGGATCAAAGGGCACAGCCACGCGGCCACCTGAAGGTAAGTGAACGAGTTTGTGTCCATCTTCACCTCGCGTCATTTGGAGCTGATACGCTTCCATGGTGGTAATTTACTCAATGAAAAGTGATGTGATATGGTGTGGGCTGGGCTGGGCTGGACTGGAAACCGCGAGACGTGGTCGCTGGTGGTGGTCTTTTCTGATTACGACAGCGGTGGCGGACCTAGTGGGACCTGACGTACGCGAGCGTGACCAGGCAGACGGGCGAGAGAAGAAAGCGACGGGTTCGAAAGATCACTAAGGGCTGCTGACAAAGAAGGAGAAGGTGTCAGTTGATCTCTGCAAAATGGCATTGTTTCCCATGGCCTCACACACAAAGTGTTGATATTTTGCAGTGGAAGAATCACATGCAGTCTGAAGCTTTTTTCTTCTGGCAAAGAGGTTCCATCGATCGGTTTGTATCGTTGATCTTCCGGTTGATCGTCGACTTCTGAGTTTATTTTTGCATCGAAAGGCGATCTTTTGCCCAGCTAGGGAGTTAGCAGCTTGCCCGGCGCGTCGTCTTGTACCCCTTCTCGTGCACGAGGTTCAAGATCCAGAAGAAAAAGAACGAAGGTCGTCGACAGCTCAACGATCCAGATGAGCAGCCAGTATCGGAGGCCACAGTGTCGGACTTTGTTGAATAGCTTATTGTCGCTGACACTTTTTTATGGGAGACGAAAGCGTTGAGAACTTGTGAGTACGGCTACGGATCGTGTCGTGGGACTGTAGGTTACAGCTTGGGATGCATCGCTATGCAGGATAGTCTGAAATCGCGTAAAGCTTGATCAGTGCATTACCAAGCCGTGAGCTTCTCAAGATGTGGATTAGATTTCTTGCTTGTATGTCATTGCGTTAGTATGTGTGATTGATTTATTGCGTCAGGGCACACCGACATGGACTTGAATAAGGTTAGTGTGAACTGCCACGGTAAAGCACTTCGACACTACTTTATCGTACAAAGGGTGTATGTGAGGGAGAAGCAGCGAGCTAACTGGGTCTTCTAAGGATCTATTCATTCGACTTTTCATATGTGTATGCTCGATATGATGAAGTTGATAGCTCTCGCTAGCTTCCTCATTCAAAGATCTGCTTGAACGATCGTGCCATTGACGTTGGACATGAAATGTGGAACGGCGTTGGAGGAGAAAAACAACTGGCTGAACCATCTAGCAGCTGAACTATTGACGTTAAGATCTGAAAAGTCCTTTCGAACTCCTCAGCGATGTGCAGACCGGAGCTTTCCAATACAGGTGCATCACGTTGTTGTTAGATTGATCAGCTGGACATCTTTTTCAGGTGTCTGTCGAGCTCGCCGATTCATTCGCACATTTCGCTCGTGTCTCCGAAGAATTCAGTACTTCTCGTTTATGAAATTGCAGATATTTTCTTTTCCAAGAGATTCGCAGAAACGCAGACGTCGATCTGTCACGGTCTTCACTTGGCCGACATGCGTCTCTGTTTGCATTCTCAATGCTGAATACATAAAGACGCTCTTTGTGTTCTTCGGTAGGCATAAATCGAGAGTATCTTCCGAACACGAGCGCATCTACAACCAGCAAATAATGAAGCTGACCCGCTTTTATAGTAGACTTGCTCTTGCTCTGGCCAGACTGATAGGCTAGACGTCATCGGTGTTTTTTCTGTGGCGTTTGAGACCTCCAAAACATCTTGCTAGCTCACCTCAGCTTTAGTGATTACTAGTCACTGAGTGTTGTGGTGCTAGCGGTGACGTATACATATTCACCTGGTTGCCCTGACATCTAGAAACTATCGCACAAAATTGTTCGGTTTTCAAGTGAGTTTAGGCGGCCGTTGTGTGGCCGAAACACTTATTCGATCGCGCACAAAAGTGCCGGCAGTTGAGTATCTCGACCCTGCATTATTATTTAAAAAGGCAGCAAAGGCTTATAAACTGAGACAGGAGCGGTGTGCCACAGGACTAGCTGAGTACAAAAGGTAAGTAACCTTTGTCAAGCTATGTAAAGGAAATGACTCTTGCGTAGACACACTTCTAATAAATGAGCGTTTTCACATTTCTAATGACTTGCCTTGACTAGTCGTGTGGACACCTCCTCTGCCTATGGAAAGCCAGCATAGCGTGCTGTTTGTGAACGATTTTGTTCATTATTTCCACATACCGATAATTGTAGCGGTAGTCACAGGGGAAATAGGCACACCAGAACAGATTTCTGTTTATAAACAGAGCTATGGCTCATTGCTACATAATACAGTGCCTTGCTGCGTCTGGTTGACGAGAAAATTAGCGCAGTAGTACAATATCAAAGTATCAACGGTTTATCTTCGCGCGGTAAGCATCAATTTTACGCTACGAGGTGGAATTTAGTAGCTTGTTACGCGACTTCGACATTGGCCACAGATCGATGTGAATATGATCTTAGCGGGCAATATTAAGCAATATTGCAATGAGATATTAATATTCTTTTGTAGGAATTTGCCTCTGTCATAAATTTTTGTAGCACACTGCTCATTGGCTGATAAGGCCATGACATCAGTCAACAAGTTCTTATGACCAATGTGACAGACGCGCTCAGACAAGTGGTGCGTAGGTAGCAATCATACGTATTGAAGACAGCTTTACTAAACTAGAGATGATAGAAAGGTTTTCTGGACTGTACTCAAATCCCGTGCCCACTAGCATGATTAGCTTTGTATATGATAAGCAAGTTTTGCGTTATCGAAATGTTCCGACCTTACCCACACGGCACAATATCAGATTATACATTGGTTTATTTTCTTGCTAGAAGTTTGTCATTGTATTATCAGATAGTATGCCAAACATTAGTTGAGAAAATTTTTCCAACATCACCACACGATCCGAAACACAAACGCTCGATTGTTTTGTAAAATGATCATTGCTATGTCGATCATGAGCGCGCCTGATATAGTTCTTAAAGTTACGCGGGCGACAGACGCGAAGACGGAGAAGTTCGCGGCTTAATGTTTCTTTCTCTGATAGGGATGTTCTCAGTGATGACGATGATGGTTTACCAACCTGAAGAAGAAATTGATAGAATGAAGAGCCACCCATGATGAAGACAACGCAACATGGACTTCTATAGTGCACAAAAGCATCGCAAGTATCCCACATGGTTCTAGTATAAGAAACGAGTTTTTGCTTTTCAATATGTAAGCGAAATTTTTCGTCATCCATGTCACAGTTTGTGCAACCAAAAAAGGGAGGAAGAGGGGAAACTTTGGTGTTATAGACAAAACTGTCCATGCTCCGCTTGATAGATGTGGCCCTTAAAGGAGAATCATCGCAGAAATATCAACTAAAGCTTGTTAGGCTGTAAATTGAAAGCGGTAATCGGGAGAGGTGCGGACGGAAAAGCAACAATAAATTCATGGGGGTCCATAATCATCCTGACACCTTCGATATGACAGCTAAATGTGCAACAGCTCACACCCGATAATATGAAGTAAGCTAGAACGTGGATTCGCACGGATCAGAATTCAAGGCAAGCGTTTGAAGCCATGGAAGAGGTTCGATAGTACGTGTAGGCTGATTGATTATGCACGCAAAACTTGAAACCGAAGAAGAAAAAGAAGCGTCATCTTGCGGGTCATGATAAAATGGTGGCTTTTCTGACACAGCTGCAGAGAGATAACACCAGACAACATGCCAGGCAGAACTATGAAGGGGTACTTGCTCATCTGCATCCAGTTATCGACACTGTACGTTAACTCCACAATATTGAGGGAAAAGACGGTGGTGGTGCACTTGGACTGAAATTATCGCACCGACAAACACAACACCGGGTTGCTGTATCTGGTTTCCTTGTACAACAACGACATTATCTTCACCTTCATATACTACTTCATGTGGACTGCAAAGAGGCGGAACTGACGTAGATTATTGAAACAATTCTATGAGCCGGGCACGATTGGTGACGTTCAGGTCATTTACACAGATACAGACCAAGTGCTGACGGATGCAGTTGCCCGTGCCTTTTCTTGTGCCAAACACATTAATTTTTGGGTCATATTCTAGCCATCGTTCGAGCTAAGCATAAAGGGTAGTTTCCTACATTTTAGAAAAGAGAGTCTGCTCAACGTCACATATTTCGCTATGAAGCTGAGGGAAATGTCAGATTTCTTTTTGAGTATTTGTCTGCGTGCGTTTTCTATATCTAATTCTGATGAGTTATGGAAGAGATGAAGAGTTCAATACCTATAGATTGCTCTAGCTACATATTGAACACCCGGTTCCCTTGTAGCGAAAGCTTTTGTGCTGCGTGGCTCACAGGTGTTTTACACTTGGTACAAATCACATACTCCAGGTGCTAAGGTGCCCATGCGAGATTTAAGCGAAAGTTGGGTTCGTCACGACATTCAGTTTAGTCGTTCTATCTGGTGGTTTACTGATGATGTGTCCGGCAACAGGAGATTTTATCGCCAAGATAACCAAAGGTATCATGTTTGTGTATATCAACTGTCCACCTATATTGGGTGATCTCGTCCAAACGATTTCCAGCGTATCATTTTTAGTTGTGAATAAGGTATACAAACTCGTATCTGTTCTTTACGACAAACATAGACAAGATCTCAATCACAGGCTCGAGGAGTACGACAAAAACATTTACCTAAGATGGGTCTGCCTTGCCAACACATCAATTATATCTGTTAAAGAAAGCTCTTATACGCGTATCAATTCTATTCTTATCCACCCACCGGTTTTGGATAAACTCTCCGGCCTCAGGACTGCTCGAACGTCGCTCGCGTTTGAACTTTACACATTTGAAATTCATTAAAAACGTCTTTCTACTACTGCAGAAAACACCGGCAAGACGGTTGCAGCTGTAAGAGATCGATTGAAATGCAACTAATGCAAGCAGTATGTATGCCAATATGTTACCAATTGCCCCTTCTGACACCCTGGACTAGCAGTGCGCGGTTTCTTCGCAAGCGACTGCCAGGACTTTGACCCCGCACGTTGCACCGGGTCCATCGGCAACCACCATAATCGTAAATGCACCTGGCCGAGTTTCGTAGTTCCAATAGTCTATGCTGGACACCCTAAGTGCATCTTCCACAGTTCC